TGTTTTGTAATGTTACAGCAAATTTAACTTCTGATTTTTTTCTCTTTTACCCCTTAGGTTTTTAACAATCATTATTTACAAGTGACCATTGATGACCTGAGATCTGAACCCAGCAAAATCTCAATGCTTTGCCATGCGGATTCCTTAGGGATCTTGCCAATACAGTGGTGCCTTAAAAACGGAGTCAATCTCACACCTCCCAAGGGTTCGTATTCCTTCTCGGTGATTCTCAGGTTTCCTTTGAAGGGATTTTACTTGTTATTAGTGCCCTTAAAACAGTGATGCTGTTCGCTGCAGAGCATCACCCTGAGTGTCTCAAGCCAGAGTAGCTCTGTTGAGTCACTGGGTCTGTTCTGGTTCATACCAGCCCATGAACATCTTTGCAAACGTGTCTTGTGGGTGGATGGATGTCCATGTGCTTTGTAGTCGGAAGCAGGCCACACCAAAGCCTAGTGAATTCCTGTGGAGTGCATCTTAGCAATGCTTTGTGTGTGTAAGGAGGAAAAGGACCGTTAAAAGTTGTATCTAGAGGCAAATCAGGCATCTCACTATAGCATCCACCTTGGTACAACGCAGAGGCCAAGCGAGGCTCCTAAATCTGAACCTCTAAACTAAACTCGCAGCTGCCTGCCCAGGAGTGTTGAGACATTTCCTTAGCTGTCTCAAAAAAAATCCGCAGTGAAGACAAATTGCAAGCAGTGTTTAGGTCGGAGCCAGGAGAAACAGCCTCCGATGGTGCTATTTCCCAACTTTGTAGCAGTGCAGTTAATTACTTGCAATTTCAGACAGCCACCTGCAGTGCCTCAGCCATATTTCTTCGCTTGCAAAATATGTTGGTTCTCTGGAATTTTAGATTTATCCCCAAAAAAAAAAAAAAAAAAAATCAGAGGGAAAGTGAAAAACATCCAAACCCCCACTGAGGGAGCCAGTCTTCTCTGAGCATGATAATACCAGCTTTGGATAAATAACCAGGTCTGATATGAGAGGGCTGCAATGCTGTGAAAGTGAGGATGGCTGTGGTGTGAGCTGGCTGCTAATGAGCAGGTCTGCAGAAAGAGAGAGAAATCCCACCGTTTCCACCCAAATCACTAGGCAGCTCTGCCTGCCCTGGGGTGTTCAGAATTGCCTCTTCTCACCAGATTTGACCAGCCTCCTGCTTCCCCAGTGCTTACGCATTCTCAACCAGCACCACCCTTCACAGAGAATATATTGACAATGTTGAGTGCTGCCCAAATGGCTCTCCCCGTTGAAAGGCAAGGAGTTCGCATGGAGAAAAAGATGAGCATGGAAGAAGTTCTCTTTGTGAAAAAGATTTCTTTGCTGTATTCTGGGCTTGGGTTTTTGGTGAGGTTTTCCGATTTTAAACTTAAGTGGTTTTATTTCATTGGAGCAGTGTGCCAGGCTGGGATATTTGGGTTCAGAGTTCTTTATTTGTCTGATAACCATCCTCTTGTCTCCTTGCCTATCGTGCCTTTGTTGAAGCCAAACATACAGTAGATGAGTCATGAACAGGAGGTGCAAACATTTGCTACTAGAAATAGAGAGCAGTATTTTCCTGTACAGTGCCAAAAATGAATACCCATTTACTGCTGCTGTATAAACATTGAACAAGCACTGTTTATATTTATTAGAGCTGGATTTATAGGCCACTTCCCTTCAGAGTAGCAACCATTGTTCCTTTTTATGGGCCATTAAGAGAGGAAAACCCATGTCGGTATTACTCCTAGTTGTAAGGCTTACTGAGGAAATCCCACTTCCAAAACCTCCCAATACGTTTGTATTGTTGTATTTGATTCCAGTTGAACTGCTGGGCTCTTCCATGCTGAGAGTTGAGGCAGAGAACACACAATGAGTTTTTACATGTTTGGGGAGCAGTGAGTGAATTACTCAAGCAAAGCTTTGAACGTTACTACTTGGGCTGAGCCTTAAAGGATAAGGTGCGTGAATGCCACGTGCTAATGAAGGTACACACTTAGCTTATGTCCTGGTGCGCCAGGGAAAGGCCATGTACAGGTCCAGGCTTTTTCGCAGCCAGCTCCTGAGTGTGCTCCTTTTGGAGCCATCCTTGTTGGGCTGCTGAAGTGAGTTATGGCAAACTCTCTAACTGCCCTCCCAGGTTTCGTTCCTGCTGAATTCTGCAGCAAAAGGTCTTCCAGCGATATCGGTGGTGTAGGGCCAAGCCAACAGATGGTTGTGCAGTGTCAACACAGTCAAGTTTTTTTATACCTCACTGAAACCTTGTCAATGTGCCTTTTTATCCACTCTGCCAAGATTTTGCGTAGCTTGCAATTAAGATTCAAACCCAGTCCGTGAGGTGTTTAAATCAGAGATTAGAGAATGGGTGTGGGCAGGTTTTTTGGGTCCATGAAGGAAACGTGCTCTGGCAGGTGGGGTGGACCCCAGGTGACTTAATGTGGGCGACTATGCTGTGGCTGTCCCCACCTGAGCCCGTCACCCTGGCTTCTCCTGGAGTCAATGGAGAGAGGCAGGGTCTTTCACGGGGCAATTCTGCTCCTTCTGCAGGAGCACAGACATATCACCTCTGGATCTGCCGGTTTGTCCGTTGACTCTTCAGGGAACCAGGGTGACGGGCACAGCTATAGGCATCTCCAGTGTAAACATCTGTATGCGATCAGATGAGTCCCCTTCTGATAGGAAGTGATATGCACTTCTCCTCCTGTTTCTCATTTAATTTTATGAAGCTGAAAAGTGTCTGGCAAACTAATAACTGGAGAGAAAAAGGGAGATAGAAAATGCAGGAAGAAAATACTGTTGCAGAAATTGGTTGTTTAAAAAAACAGTGCAAAGATTATTTTTTTTTTTGTATGAAAAATGAACATTCTCTGTCAGTAGTTGTCTTTTTTTACTTCCCTGTGCATGTAGGAAATTCTAGCTTTCCAGTTATTATGTACTTTCATGCCCCACAGAGACAGATACCTTAGCTCAAGGCTTTATCTCATTAATTTCTTTGTCATGTGTGCAATCATTAGGATTAGAAGTTCATCTTATCCTAGATACTTGCATCTTAGCAGGATGCTTGGGACTTTATTTTCAAAATTTTTACTTCCTCTCTTTGGATCAGGGTGACTGATAGGTGACTCCACTCAGTATTCCAGTCCTTTCTTGCGGACAAAAAATGTCACAGTTTTCATTGTTAGAAATGATTCATTCCCATCTGATTTGGAGTGTCCCTTTTTGACTATCAATGAAAAAGGCATTAAGGGATGTTCTGTGAAATGAGGCCAGGCTGAGATGCCAGGCAGGGAGATTGAGGGGAGAATTTGGCCTTTAAGTGACTCATGAAGCTTTCCAGTGAGAGCAGTTCTGCAATAATGTTATTAGAGCATCGACAGTATCGTCACAGGGCCCTGGACAGGATTAGCACTCGTTGGTTTCAAGCGCTGTAAAAATACAGACTAAGAGGTCGACAAAAAACCCCAGAGTTTATTGCCTAAATAGCCAGGTACGAAGAATGGATGAGCAGAGGTCTGGTTTGTCTCTGTAATGGGACTGTCTGAGAGATGCTCATATAAATCAATGTTGCTTCCTTTTTTTTTTTTTCCCTAGAAGCAGAAAGGATCATCTAGTTGCTGAGACTTTAGTCTGGGAGCTGGGAAATCTGCGTTCTTTTTCCTGCTCTACTCCAGATTTCTATACGAGCTTGGATGACGTGCTTACTGTGATGGGATTCAGCTCACATACGCTGAGCTGCTGGAAAGTCAGTCATGGAGGGTACATCCATATCAATGAAGAGAGAGGAGAATTTATCTCTTGCTTTGAAAGGGAGGATGGATCAGCTTCTGGTTGTGCTGATCCTCTCCTTGTCCACTTCTGAAGGACCCTTGGTGTCCAGCTCCATAATCCCATCTTCTAGATATTTAAAGGAATGAGAAAGAAGTCCGTGACTAGCCCCATCTGGAAACTGGCGACAGTAGCGCTTCTGGGTAGTTATGGGTTTATTAAAGACTTGGAGATGCTCACAGGAAAGAGAAAATAAGGAAAATAAATATGTTTTATTACTTTTCAACCAAGACCTGGAGTTTACAAAGCAAAATGCAGCGGGTGTGTGAGTAGGGGCTGGAGAAGCGTTGGCATTGTCTCTTATGGTTTATAAACACGTGCCCGCAGAACTTGTCAGATGGTACTGCACAGTTCACTGAGGCAGGATGGGATGCTGAAACACAAATGATCATCTGCTCGGAGCCCATTTCTTGTGCTTTCTCTGGTGTGAAGTGGTGGCTGATGACACTTCCCGTTTTGTCATCCTGCAGGTTACTCTGGCCAGGACTTTGACTGGGCAGACTACCAGAAGCAGTGTGGAGCGGAGGCAGCGCCTCACCTGTGCTTTAGAAACGTAAGTTCTCTATTTTGCCTTTGCGTCACTCCTGTCGATCCATGTGAAACAAAAGAGCTTGCACAGAGCTGCAGCAAGCAAGCTTTGGGAGGATTCCCCCAGATCACCATGAGTCCGTCTTAGGGAGGAAGCTGGAGAAGTGTTTCAGGTCTGCATCCCTAAAGGAGAAAAAATGGAAAAAATGTTATCTTGTCTTTATCAGATTCATTTAGATTTCCTGCTCTTCATCTCCAATCTGATTTTGTACAGCACCTAGCACAAGAAGGATCGAACTGACCATTACGAGTAATTCAGGTGCTACTAAAAAACCCCATAAACTAGGTTTAAAATTTGCATGGTATCATCTGGCATTTTCACATTTCAGGTGTTTTCTCTGGTTCCCAGGGGGATACATTTAACCAAACTAAATGCATTTAAAAGCTAAGGTTGAAACTCTTGAGCTCGGAGTGTGAGAAGTGATTAACCTGCGCAGATGCTCTGGTCTTTGGGACAGTTCATGCGCTTCCTTGGTACAGCAACAGCGATGTAGGAGTGAGCAGCACATCATTATGCTGGAGGCCGTCAAGATTCAGAGCTCTGGAAATAGTCTTTTGCAGGGTGTTTTCTGGCAATGACAGTCTGGTGTGGCTTGATCCGACAGGTATTCATTGCTTGGGGAAAGGCACATGCAGCCTTCTGCCTTTTCCAGTAACCACGTGCTCTTCTTCATGATCCCATCCACTGATGGAAGTTGAGATCGCATCAATAACTGAAAAATGTGGTGGTACTAAAATGAGCACAAGAAAAGTTTGCAAAATGCAGAGGTGGTGTGAACAGTGGACCAGCAGGTTCCCCTGGGAGTTACGAAGCCTTTCACAGTACTCAGAAGTCACGAGGCGAGGGGACAGCCTGGTTATGGAAAGCAGAATGGAGAGTCTCACAAGACACCAGCCATGGCCTTCTTCATCTGTGGTGGGCCAAGGGCAGCCTGGCTTGGAACAGACCTTTGATGGTGAATTGATGAATTTGAACACTCTCTGTTGATGAATTCAGAAGATCTGTATCGTCAGCAGAGTTTGACCTGGGAATCACATGAGAGAGGATTTCTTTGCCCCATTTGTGTCATCCTATGCAAAACCCTCTGTCTCAAGGGACTTTAAGCAAAGATTTCTGAAAGCGCTGAGGGAAGCTGCACAACGCTGCGTCACACCAGTAGAGCGGGACAACTGTCGCATCTCTGCTGCAAGCACCCTTTCTTTTTCTTTATATCTCTTCATTTTGTCAAGTAATGGATCTGTGCTCTCAGCACTGGCAGCCTTGGGAGCAGTCTCTGGGTAATATCCTCTAAAGATTAAATCAGGTCTAAGCGCTTTTTTTTTTTTTTCTTCCCTTTTTTTTTAAGGAAGCATTCATCAGATGAACATGTGTCTGTTATTCTTTCACTCTCGATAACACAGTTCTCTGCAGAGAGATGTAATCTTGTTGTTGCTTCTGCAACCTCCCTGGCAGGCTGGTCCATTTGTTTCGTGGCTGTGAGTGGCTCTTTGACAGAAGCTGTATTGCAAGCACATCTTCCACCTAGTACAGCCAGACGTGGTGCTGGAAGTGCATATGCTGTAACTGTTTCCCCGGGGGGGATATTTAACAAGGAGAGGCATTTATGAAATGGATTGACATGACCAAATGCTTAGTAAAATAAACTCCCAGCTAACTGTTTTGCCATTGATTCTGTATAAATTAGCCTCCAGCACCGAATTGCAATGAAAGGAGCCGGTGTGATGATAAATGACGTTTCCTTGTTAGGCAACATAAAAGGCATTTGAACAAACTCACCCTCCTTTTCTGCAGTCCTGGCCATTGGCAGCTTTTACAGGGTGAAGCTGATCTGTGTGCTGAGCAAGGCTTGCGACAGTCCAAGAAATGTTTGAGACTAGCAGCACGTTCTTGGAAGGCCTCTTGATGGGGGGAAAAACAAAAAACAAAAAAAGACCAAATCCCGATGTCTTTAGTCTTACAGAGAGCTCCCAGTGATTGTTTAAGGTGAAGTGCCCATGGTCCTAGGTGCTGTACAAATAGCAGAGGGTTGAATTTGAGTCTGGCTGCCAGTTGCTCTCATGGGGTTGCTGGATGAGGGATTGGTGGCATTTTGAGTCAGTGACAGTTATGACCCATCGTAATTATTATTAGCCAAAATCTTAGTCAAGAGAGGGAACCTTTTTGTGCTACTGTGTGCAGAGAGAGAAATTCAAGCACTCACAGCTGATGTGGTGCAGAACAAGTAGGACGGAGGGGAGGAAAATGCAAAGGAAGGAAGTGATGGCATGACCACAGGTATTGCATCAGTGCATTTTAGGGATAGTGGTGGTGGGAATATTGGGAAGAGACTGAGCAGAAGTGAAAGGAGAGGGGACACTGGAAGGGACAGAGGGTAGAGGTGAAAGCGTGTGAGGAGTAGCTTGGGGCTTGGCTTGTGGAGGCTTTGGGAAGGGTTGTAGGTTCTTGGGGTTCTCTTGCACTTGGGATCACCTGCAACAGCTACAGACGGGATCTGTGGTTTGTTACGTCAGGGCTGAGCCATCCTGCCTCTGGCAGGAGCAGCAGGGACTGGTCAGGAGCCTGCTGCTGTCACGTGGCCTGGCCAACCTCAGACTGAAGCAGTTTGCCAAGGCATACGTTAGCCTACAGCAGCGATTTCACCTGAATGACTTGAACTGCAGCTTCGTTCAGGCTCCCAAACTCTTAGTATGACAGGGGATGCTGCCTTCTCAGAAGCTCACGACCCCACATTTTGGTCCTGTGTTTCTTTCTTGGGGTGATGATGACCACTCATTTGGGGACCATTGCTGTAATATCAGGCGGGACTGCCTTCACTGGAGGGGAGTGGGAGGGCAGTGGGGGCCTCAGATAACCTGTGAAAGACCCATTTCTTTGGTGCTGTGTTTAAGTGTGCAGAGGTACTTCTGTAGCAATAAATACAACTGGCTCCCTCTACACCCACCTGCAACCGATGAACTTATGTATCTGAAGTCTAGAGTTATCTTATGTACCTGAAGAGAAGGACCTTGTAGACTGAGCTTAAAATGCTCCATGAAATAAAATGTACTTGAACAGGTTACTCGAATTTTTCTGGCCTCGGTCATCCTGGGCAACTAAATAATGTGAAGAAATTTCTCTGATCTCAGGCAAGATGAGTTATTTGCTTTACAAGGTTTCTCCTAGCAAGGTGAGAGATGCTTAAGCGCAGCACATCTGGGAATGCTCTGTGTAATATCCTATCAGCAATAGTGGACTGCAAACGCATCGCCAGCAAGCATTGAAATACCCTTGGACCTGTTGTGGAGTAACATCCTTCTGGTCTCTGAGAGTTAGGAATTGGCATAAACCATGAAATATATTGCTTCTTGATTTGTTGCTATTGTTTGGTTTGGTTTTTTTTGTTTGTGTGTTTGGTTGGTTGTTTGTTGTTTGTTTTTTTTTTTTTTGATATGGGTGCCCAGGTCAACTCCATTTTCAATCTGGATGCTTTTGTGTTCTTCGGTGTCACCTGCACTTCCAATGAACAGCAAACCATGCTAAATTTATGCTTCCCAGTGGACAGTCTAGTTATCGTGCAGTGCTGTAGTGCCATGCTTCAGTGTTGGTCCTTGACTCTTTCAGACATCCTTCAGCCGTGGCTTTACTAAGAACATGAAGCTGGAGGCAGTGAACCCCAGGAACCCTGCAGAGATATGTGTCGCTTCTATCACCTCAGTTAAAGGACGATTAATGTGGCTTCACCTTGAAGGTACGTGATGTAAAGGCTGCTTGTGCTTCTTAATTTTGTCCTTCATCCTCTGCACAAAACTGCTTTCTCCAGCTTTCCTTCTCATACACGTTGACCATTGATCTGTTACAAAGAATTTACCTTTCCCTGCTCTCTCCCTGAGGGAGCCACAAGATCTTCCACCCTCACATCTGTGTAGACTCTACCAGCATGATTTCCATGAACAGCAGAAACATTCTCCCTGCCATCATGATAGACCCTCCATCCTTGGAGTGGATGTTTGCCTCGCTTGTGCGGCTGAGACTTCCACTGTGATTCCCAGCATGCTCTCATGGGATCTCCTGTCCCTCTGCAACTCCCTTCCTTCCTTCCATTCCTGCCTTCCTTTCCTTCCTTCCTTTCTTCCTTCCTCTTCTTCCACTCTTTTTTTGTTACCTAGAGGTCCATAAATTTCTCTAATACATGCTGCTCCTCACCATGGCCATCACATGCTTAGATCACTCCTCCCTGTGATTGATCCCTTCATTGATCTAAGAGAGATCTTGCAGGTGGTAACTCTGTAGAATTCAGAATGCAATCGCCCCGTGGAGAACACTGCCACTGTGCGAGCAGTATTAGGAGAGTGCTGAAAAACTAGCAGAGCGTAATATTATATGAAAACTTCTGTTTCTATCTGTCTGGAAGTAAGGTATAGATGAACTCACTTTTGATGTGGTTTTGCTCTTGGGAGTTTATTAATCTGGGCAAGGCCTTCTTAAGTAAGTGTACTTTAGAACCAAGCAGTGATTCTTCTTATTGCTTTAAAAACAACGTTATTTGTTAAGTCACTGAGAGCAGGAAGCCATGCTCATTTAAGTGTTTTGATGGGCACTGTGATAAACCATAAAGGTGTTGTAGCATCTATCATTGTCACAAAATAGCTTAAATTTTGCCTATCAAGGTAACACTATTGTTTGAAGCTACTGGCTTAATCTATAAGGGATGTAAGAGCTGCAGTTTCCCTCTGAAATCAGTAGTAGTTGAGTCAACGTCAACCACAAATGTAATATGCTTCTTTGCTTTCTTCTGGAGAACCATGGAAATATCAAAGGCACTTCTGGTGGCCCGTAGTCCTGCTCATCACCAGCCTCTGTAAGACCTGTGCTTCTGCCTCTTGGTGAATGCACAAGGCAGATGTGCTGTCCCTTAATTAAATCTGGGCTGCTGTCAAGATTGCTTCTGCGAAAGCAGTGTGAACCCTCATTGTCAGAGATCAATGCAAGTTTATTTTGGCCCTTCCAGAGTGACTAGGAAAGGGTTAATGGGACAACAAACCATAATCACGTATGTGATTTCCAGAAAGGACAGAGGAACAGGGGTCGTGACAAGGATTTCTTGCAGACATCCCATGTGCGATGAATTCTCAAGCCTGATCTGCACAAAAAGTCACCTTCCCTCCTCTGCACGATGCACAGCTCTCAGTGTTTTGGGGCTGGAAGACAGTGGAAGCCAGATTGATGCTAACGGTATTGTTGTCACCGTCGGCTTTGTGCTGCGTTGATTATAATAACCCAAGAAGTATTTCAGCATCTGACAGTGTGCACTGCCGTTTTACAAGAGGGAAGAGCTCTAATCAAAGCCCTTAAAATGAGTAAAAACGTTGTCAGGTAATCCAAAGTACTTCATCTGTGCTAGCAAGTTGCTCTAAAATGTAAGAAAGGTCCATGTTCTGTGGTGTTTGGCTCTGCAAAAGTAGCATTATAGGGTAGACAAGGCTTTCCTGACACCTCCATGGTAAATCCCGTTCTCAGAGATTTATAACTCAGTTGCTACCGAAAGAGAGATTTCTCCTGACCTAAAGCTTGTCAGGACAAATCATTCGTGCTTCTCGTGTCTTTGCTGCTAAGCCCTGTGGTTTGGGCTGGCTGAGGTCTGTGGAGATCAGATCCGCAGGCGTGTCCCCGAATGCAGCAGAGGTGGGAGGTGGAGGAGAGCTGGGTTGTCATCCTTCTCCATCCCTGACGTGTAGTTGCTCTCCTCTGATTATCTCCAGTGTACAGAGCAGATAGGACTTTGCATCTTTGCTTTTGGTAGAGCTGTGTGCAATGGTGGTTTGTTTTTTTTTGATTTGTTTTGTTTTGTTTTGTTTTTTTCATGAGACAACTGGTTGCCTTCTGACTTGAGGTTGCTAAAGCTCATCTGCAGTCTGGTCTGGACACATGGCAAAATTTTTTTGGAGCTCAAATCAATGCTTGTTTGCAATTCATTTCTCACTAAGGCTGTTGTTGAGTTTACACCCATCTGGTCAAGGAATCCAGCCCGTTTTGGCAACTGTCCTTCTTAAATGGCCAGGTGCCTTCACTTTTATATGCAGATTTTATGGGGTTTGGGAACCCTTCTTTTTAAACCCTAAGCTGTGATACTTTCAAAGGGACTCAGTATTAACTAAACTCTTGCCCACTGTAGTGAATGGGATGTGCTGTTTCCTGGGTCTTTAAATCAACTAGTCCTCCAAGACTAAAGGCAGGGAGAGGGCCACACACTCCCACCTTGCTCCCCTCCCTCATGTATTTCTCCATGCTTTTTACTCTTTTAATTTCTTAAAGGATATTTTTTACAACTTGTCATAAAAATAATCCCAACAACAACCTGTGTACATCTCCTTGTCTTTTCAGTTCTGATATATAGACGCTTTACACCTGTTTTATATCTCAATATATACCAGGAATAGAATGATCTGTAGTAAAAGGAAAAGATGCAAAAGACTGCAAAAATAAAAAGAAGTCTTTGCTGCTGTTGAAATACATGACTACAGAATGCACAGTGTTAGGATAAAACTAGGCATTAAAAAAATTCCCCCGAACCCTGCTTGCAGAGTTGTAAAATAAATGTGGCTTGAATTTTTTTTTTTTTTTTTTTTTTTTTTTTTTTTGACTCTATTAATACACTATTGTTTCTAACTGATTATTTATTTTCTGGTAGCAGCAAGACTCCCCAACTACCATGGGAGCCCATCACTGAAGACCTCGAGTCCCACCATTTATCATGGGGGCGTCTGAAGCTTTCATTGTTGCCCTCCCAGTTTTGCTGTTTGACAGCCCGAACTGCAGCCATAAAACAGGACGCAGTAGTTAAGCAGCATCGAGTTAGACATGAGGGAACATTGCTTAATAAATCACGCTTTGTACAGTAGCAAAACTCTGTAAACTTCAGGGTGAGCATTTAATGAGCAGCAGTATAGTTCCCCCATGGTGGAAAAGAAGCGTAGGGCTGATCCAAGGCTGTGTGCATCCCATCACTTTCTGCTACTTTATTACTCATCATCTGCATTGTTAATTTTTACTGGTTCATTTTAGATTTTAAAGCTGTAGCTTTCTGGTGTGAATTTATACAAGTAATAATGCACACTCTCTGCACGGCCTAGGAATTTGAGGAAAATTCTTTTGTTAATCACTTCTCCAGGGAGGTTTTCCATAATTTTCCCTTAGAGAGTTTTCCAGAGTTGCTGTGCTGTTCTGCCCGTCCAATAGGATTCGCAGCAGGAGATGGAAGTTCTCCTCACCCTATTTCAAATCTCCCTGCTCTCCTATTTTCCATTTAACCTCTCAAGTCCCATGGACATTTCTTAGCCTGGGAAAATGGCAGCATAAAATGCTGCAAATGAAACTAATGAGTCTCAAACAAGCTGTTTTCCATTTATATGAGCGAGGCCAGAAGAAGCAGTAAGATGTCAGAAGTGGAAGGCAGGGTTATCCATCGCCAGGGGGAAGAAGCGGTGCCTGGGAGGGCAGGGTACCTGTGAATATGTCTTACAAGAGGAGTAGTGGTGGTGCAGGAGAACAGACATTACGGTGCTTCCTTGCTTGTCAGGGCAGATGCAGCTTTAAACTTCAAAACCAAAATGTTCATGTCGCGTTTATTGTTGCTTGCAAGCAGGAAAGTGCATTCGATCTGTTTATTTGCTCAGAATAACACTGTAGAACAGCTACAGTAATGGAAATAGAAGATTTTCCCAGACCTGATAAAATGTCAGCGGGGCCTGTGTTGGTCTCTCGCTCTGTTTAGGGCTTGGTCCATGGCTCGCTCACTTCGTGCATGCCTTGCCATTGACTTCAGCAGTTCTCACATCAGTTCCTTGGCTGGATTTGTGGTGTTAGATGAAAATGTTCTGCCTGCTGGAGTGTGCAGCTTTCATCAGGTTCAAACTGAGCAGCGACCTCTTGATATTTTCTTGTGGAGGGAAATGGTTTTGCAGGGAGTGCCAGCTGTGAGACCTTGCATCGAGGCTCTGTGGCTCATGTGAGCAGGTTGTGTCCTGTATCATGTGCCTTCATCCCATCCTCTTCCCTTCCCCATATCCCAGTGAAACAGAGATTGTATCTTCAGTGTATAATGCGTGAACGTGATGCAGGGCTCAGAGAAATACCATGAAGACATCCATTAATCTATGCAGACATCGTGATTTCATTCTTTAAATTATTTCCTCCAGCAGTGTGAGCACCAGCACCTATTTTCCTGCTTCCTTTGGGTTTTCATACAGCCACACGCTCTCAGAGTGCATCAGGTTTATTACTAGAGACAAGATTGATCCAAATGCTGCATCTCAGACTCAATGCCATTCCCATCACAAAGTTCAATTACTGTTTCAATTACACTGCAAGCCCTTGATGAACATTCATTAGTGGGAAGTTCCCCATAGTCATCTGGCTGTGCACAGTCAAACTCTTCTGCATTAAGCAGGAGGCAAAGATGCTGTAACAGATGCAAAGGCGAGGATGCTTCAGGGGAAGTTGCTGATCCTTTGGCCTCTTTTTTTAGGAGATAACCTCATGCTGGTGCTGGAGCTATAGGTCCTAGGGTAGAAACGGCAGAGGTGGGTGAAATTGCTGGCCAGGCTGTGCCAGTGCAGATGGACTTGAATCGGAGTAATTAAATGGTGTCTTGACTAAGGAACAACCCAGAGTTGTTTTCAAAGCCGGTGGAAATATTTCCATTTATTGCAGTGGTCTTTGAGTGCGACCCACATAAACCAAGACAGAAGAGTGTCTTCTAAAGGAGACACAATAGCCAAACTGGAGGAGATTTGCTTTAAGCAGAGATTTTCAGTGATGTTTTAGGGTCACTATTATGCCAGAGATCTCAGTGCATCTGCTCCACTTGGGATTTTTATGCTGCCTCTCCCTTATTGGGTGACCAGGTTATGTTGTAGTGAGGAGCCCTAGGAGAATTCATGGCACCTCTAGACAGAAGAGTGGCCATGTCCAACCCTTAAAAGCAATGACTCAAGGGTAGAACTACACGAAAAAGCTTCAAGGGGCATTGGGGCATAGAGAACCTATCACATCAGCTATCATCCTGTTATAGCCCATATGCACTCTCTTACCAGTAAGAGCAAGCACCCAACTGGCCTTCTGCTCACCAGCTTGTGCAGCTCTACAGAAAAAGCCCCCAGGGAGCAATCAGGCCCTCTTTGTGTAAAAGTCATGCGGGTTGAACCTTCCTGGCCTTTCAGCTGCTTCACCCCACAACCCTAGTGGGCTCTTAATGGGAATTTTCTCTGGAATCACATTGCACTGTAAGTGCAACAGTCTTATCACTGCTGTCTGTGCAAAACTGCAGATGAAATGGTGCCTCATTTTGATACAGGGAAGCAGATTTATTTTTACATGTTCCATCATTTGCTTCCCTTGGTTCGTGATGAATGTTCAAATGGCTCTGAGCTTGGTATTCCCATGTCTAAATTACATTATAAATTTGCGTTTATAGGTTTACAGATGCCCTCACCAGAGTACATAGTTGATGTAGAGTCTATGGACATTTTCCCCGTTGGCTGGTGTGAAGCGAACGCTTATAACCTAACTCCACCACACAAAGCTGTTCGTAAGTACATGGAAACCTCAAGCAGTGTAGGTATTCCATCAACGGATTATCAGGGAGTTTGTTTTACGTCTGTAATCTAATTTTTGAAATTACCAACTTAACTAGCCGCCAGGTAACCAGGCTGTAAGTGTACTATAATAAATAGTAATAAATCTAATTAGTGACCACACTCTGCAGCACTGGTATTTGTACTGTCTGTGTGATCAGTCCCTCTAAAAACGGGATTGCTTGTGTTGGGAAAGGCCGTTACGTGGTTTGGGATTGCACAGTGTAGCTTGTGGGTTTGCAGTGGGGTTGTCAGAGTGAAACCAGTTTTGTTGTGCTGAGCCAAGTTCACTCGGGCAGCTGAGTGAATTAGGGACACTGGAAAAAAAAGCCAAACATAAAATATAGTGTGGGATAGACAAAAAGAAGCCATCCAGGTGCTCCCTCTCCAAAACAGGATCTGCTCCATCTAAATTGAGAAACATTTGCTGGCCTCCTGTGATGGAGTTTCAGCCCCTTCCCAGGGTATCTATCCCATTATTTCACTGCCCTTACCAGCTCAGAGATTTCCCTGGTGTTTAATTTAAATCACTCCCAGCACAATTAAGCCCGTAGTGTTTTGTCCTGCCTCCAGTGCATATTAAGACCAATTTCTTTCTTTTCCATTTGCATTTGAAGGCAGCTCATGAGTGCTTGGTGGCTTGGTGTTGTTCTCCCGTTCCTCGCAGAAACTATCCAACCCCGATCTCAAGCCACCAGACGAAAAATTAGCCTCGCTGTTTATATTAATTAACATCTGAAAGGCAAATTTAAAATGTGTCAACCCTTTTGAAGAGTTAAATATGCTTAAGTTAAAAATCAGACAGCCGGGGCCTAATTTGGGAGACTACTGCTATGGCAACATTATGCAGCCTTATCGCAATTTATAGCTGGGGATAAATTATGCTGGAGGTAATCATGCTTGTAAAATGTAATCTTATCCATATGTGTTTCTGTATGGAAAAATATTTGTGTTTTTATTTTAATTTTTTTTTTAATATACTGAACCCATAAAACACAATATTAACATTCCAGAGGAAAGATTAAATGTATTATTACAGCTTTAAAGTAGGTTTTAATGATGTAGTGACTTACTTAAAAATACCAAGAGAAGATGGCGATAGTAATTAAGTACCATTTCATTGTGTTAGAAGTCATTTTATAGTCAGTGCATTTATACAGCTTTTTATGCATTCTGGGTATACTTTATAGGACAGAAGGGTACAAAACTGTTTTTTTTTTTCTTCCTTGTTTCATTTTCACAGTGCGAAGGAAAAGAAGAATCGCAGTTGTGCAACCAGAAAAGCAGTAAGTTTTTGCTATTTAAGGTGATATTTTTTACAGGGATGCATCAAGGTCTTCCAGGGAAGACAATATACAGCAGCTGAGTGACTTTGCTAACGACTGCCCAGATACTGCAGCAGAGTCGGCAAGGGGTTCCTTTAAATCTAAAGTATTTCGAGCATATTACAAAGTCTTTATAATAGAAATTTTTTTACTGGTTGGGACTGCATAGCCAGTGTCTGATGGCCAGGAAGGGATACTTATAGAAGATGGACATCTACCAGGAGGGCGTTTCCCTATCTAGCCTTGCTATTTCTAGAAACTAGAATTTAAGGGATTTACATGTGAATATTTGCAGCCTGAAGGGTTGAAGCTCACAGCCCAGAGTATATTTTTGGAAGAGGGGTGGATCTGGCTCCCTCTTCAGCAGTATGCTGGCCCTAGGCTTTGATAAACCATGTGTAAGTGGGGTTGCATTTGAGGTATCTCCATTCCTTGGTCCAGGCAGGTGCTGGTGTATCTCTCAGTCCAGCCTGAAGGCTGGTTCTGCCCCTTTGCCCCATCTGACACTACTAAATACACTGAATTGCTGTTTAACAGGTTACCATCCACAGTGCCTGTTGAGAAAATACCTCATGACCTCTGCCCAGTTCCTCAGCCAGACACAACAGGTAAGGCTGCTCAGCACCAGCAGGATCCTTATTTCAAGGACCCGTTGCCTGTATGGAGGGGGATGACCCCAAAAAGGGAGCAAGTGTGTCATATCGGTGGGGAGATGGGACCACATCCTCAGGTGGTGTAAGGTGGTGTGGACCCACCGACAGCGTGAGGAGTCTCTGATGTACAGCATGTGAGGGTCTGGTCCTCTGCATGTGAACATTGTGTCTTGCTGGGTTTAGCAGAGTTCCCCTGCAGCTTGCCCATTTTAGCTAACGATGTTAGGGCCGGGCTAATGAAGCCCTGGTGGAGATGGATTCAACTTTTTAATTGGCATCGATGAAATTGCTTCCACCAGGATTTAATGGGTCCCTGCGTTAGCATCAAGACTGTGTGGCATGGCTGCTACTTCTGCTAAAGGCAAATTTTTCTCCCCTTCAGCAATGGCAGGAGGCTCTGAGAGTGCCGTATCCATCCGGTTAATTGCATAGACTCAGCAGGAGGGGCAGGATTTAACTCACTTTATTTCAGCAGACTGCAGGACACACATTGGCATCTGAGCCAGCATCACAGGGCCCCGTTACAATCAAGTGGGGAGAAACAGGCTCTTTTTGGGTATGATAACCAAAAACTGGATAACCACTTGGATGGCACCATGAACCGTGTCTAGAAGTACCCACTTCTCTCCATGGGCTATAAAGGAGCCCGGAGTAATTAGCCTAGAGCCCAGACAAAGAAGCTATTCTGTAGAGCCATGCTGGGTCGGGGGAATGGCACCCCAGTGCTTACGGGGTTGGGCAGTAGCTGAAGAGGGGTTTGTAGAGCTCTCCACCTGAATTTTTTCTCCCTAAGCCGATTCCATATCGCTGAGAGGCAGCTAATGCATTCTCTTTCTGGCCAGTTGCAACTGAGTTGCTCGCATCCATCTGTGATGTGAGTTATGAAAGAGCCTCGGGTCACATTATGAATGAAATCCTTTCCCGATTCTCCTTTTGCTAGGGTATGCAGACAAATCAGTTGCTATTTAAAAGCATTTGCTTTTCCTGTGTCAGATGGGTTTGAATAGCAGAGGCTTCTCTACCTTCTATCTCAGGGAAGACTTTATGTGCCTCCTTTAATAGTCTCTCCTCCTTCCCACATCTAGGAGGAAGAAGGGCCCTTGATTTATTATACAAAAGTGCTACACGCACATCAATGCTACTTTCTCCTTGCAGGCACCATCAATGGGAGATACTGCTGCCCCCAGCTCTACATCAACCACCGCTGCTTCTCAGGTCCATATTTAAACAAAGGCAGAATAGCAGAGCTACCTCAGTCTGTCGGGCCTGGCAAGTGCGTGCTGGTCCTCAAAGAGGTACGGCTCAGCTATCTTTTGGGGGGATTTCAGGGGAAAGCCTGGGTCATGGGTTGCCAGGCCCAGAATTTGAAAGGAATGCACCTAAAATTGTCCTGGAGTTCTCTAGTGGTTTCCATAAGTCAAAACTGCAAGCTGGGAAGAGAGGGTAGGTGTATGTATTGCGGGTTTTGATGAGAGAGCTGACATTTGTGAAACATGGGGAGTTTTGTTGGTTGGGAGCAAGTTTTGTTTAACTGCAAGAGAATTCATGTTCTGTCCAGGGCTGTCCCCAAAGAGGACCTCTGTGGTTGTCACCATCAGCCTGTTTCTCATCACCCATGATGCTGTTGGGCCAACAGATTCAGTGGGAGTGACACCTTTATATGTGTGACCATGGTCTGATGGGGCCCAAACCACCAAGATCCGAAGTGAACAGGACAGAAATGCAAGCAGGGGTGTGTGCGATGTGCTGAGTGGAAGCTGTGGTGTGCTCAGCTCTTGCTGAACGTGGATGGGTTAATCCCACGCAGCAGGGATGGCAGAGCACCACCATCTGTTCACTTCATCCTGACCCAATCATTTCTTGCTTTGGGCCAAATCCAGAGCGTTGAGGGCTTGCTGTTGACCTCAGAGAAAAGTTGCTTGAAAGAATGGACTGTAATCTTTGTGGAAAATGTTTATGCACACACAGATGAAAGGCAAAGTGACTGCAGGTGGCAGGGGACAGCAAGATGGTACTGTTGGATAAGCAGCATGCCATTGGTGCCAGAGCATTTCAGTTTGACTTGCATCTTCTAGAAATCCAGATTTTCCAGCTTTCACCCTTGATGTGGATGCAGGGATGTATCTGAGCTCCCTCTGTCCTTGATGGAAAATCATGGGAACTTCTAGGTGTCCATTTATCTAATGTATTTGTAAGACCCTCGGTGCCCAGCTCAGGATGTTTGCAGTTGTCCGAAGTGAGGTGAAACTCAGCCCTGGTTTCACACATGAAAGGTGAGATTCCTCCGAGATCACCCACCACTTTTGAAAACACCTCTGTGCTGTGCTGTGGAGTGATTCCTGTGTCCCCATTCACCTCCCCATCACCTACCTGCGCTGCTTTTATACTCAACAGCACTGCTGGTTGTCTCACGTGGTTGAAAGCTGGGCCATGAAGAGATGCCAGTCATCCAGCTGCAGGTGGGAAGCTTGGGTCTCAAAGAAGCAAGTCATAAATAGCCTTCAGCAAAAAGTAGGATAAAGTGGTTGCACAGCAAAATTTGACAGCTGCCAAATTTGCAAGCAAGTCCATAGTGGCTTGCTGATAGGGAGTGTTAGCAATCTGCTGCTCCTTGGAGAATAGGCAATGAAAATCCAACACAGAGGAAATATGAGGCATACACAGTCAATACTTATGCTAATGTTTCTTCCTCCGTTCTTCCTGGAATTTGGATTTTTGAAAACATAAGCAGTGCAGAGCTTCTGACGGGTCCTCCCCTAGTATCTTAGGGCTTTGCTGCATAGACTCACACCAGCTTCTCCAAATTCCTCAAGAATTGGACCAATTACCATCTATGGAAACCAACCTGAGTTTCCTACAGAAAGCCTGTTTTCTCTTGCTGTGCCTCCTTACAGAACTGCTAGCTGAAGGAGCAGTGAGACATGGGCATCTTGCTTCTGGAGACATGAACAAGTTCCCAAGGATCAGGACAATGGCAGTGGCCCAGTATTGGGCAGTGTTATTTTGCAGATAAATTCAAGCTCATTCTGGCTAGAGAGACCAGGTCCAAATTCTGGAAAGGGTGAAGAGAAGACATTCAGGATGTTGCTGTAGGGGAGATACATTGGTTCCTATCAGCTGCTGCTGAGGTGAGCGAGGTGTCAGCATCTCAGAGAACCATGGGCAGGAGGGACGATAGGGGTACCCAGCACATGGAGGAGGCAAGAAGTGATGAAGAAGACATCACTGCATTGAGATGAAGTTCTGTAGCAGCTGCTAAAGCACCAAACAGGACTGCAGAGCTGAGTGGTGAGAACAGCACAGGAGATACCTCCTCCAGCCCAGGACCACAGGCAAAAGGTTTTGCACAGCTGAAGAGCTCACACGGGGCCCCATCCCTCTGAACCCCGTCTCGGTGCTGGGCTTCACGCATTTGTCTTGCTTTACACCTGCTGATAACGTGGCCCCGAGAATGCAAGTGCTTTATAATTATCTCTCTCTCACTATATAAGATAATTGCAGGCCATTGTAAATTATGCATCAGCATAACTTGTCTGGAATAGATAAATTATACATGGGATTTACTTTGGCAGCACACAGGGGAGGGTGGGAAAGACAAAAACTACAAAGGAAGAGTGGAGTCAGTGGCAGTCTGGTGAAAGTTTTTTAAATCACTCTGGTCTCCAGCCATAACTTACTGCCTTTAGAGACACTAGTTAAAAATCTGTGTGGGTTGCCAGCCAGTTCACAGTGGGCAGCAGTCTCTGTGATGGAGATGCTGCTGTGTTTGGCACTGACGGAAACCCCAGACTAAAATCAGCTGAACAACAAACTCCTGCCCCATTCCCTGGCCTGGATTACTTAAAGCAAGAAGCAAGCAGGTGGCCTCTCCCCACTAGCACCAGGTGATGGGAGACCTTGGTCCTGGCTGGGTGCTGAGGGACGAGCTCCTCATCCTCTGCCTTCCTCCACACTCAACCATGAGGGTTGTATGGAAAGATGCAGGACAACTGTAGTTCATGATGCTCCTCAGCCCTCGTTTCCTACAAGGTCTTGTCCTTCCTTACCTCCATCACTGATGCAGTGAAGCATCACGCTGGATCCAGCTCCAAACAAACTGGTGCTGCTCGCCTGCACGCTAATAGTGAGATAGCTGTGGGTCAGTACTGCTTGATTCTGGATTAAACAAAGGTTAGGAGATGCCCTTGTGGTGGAGCATCTCCTTCCATTTGAGTAGTGTGGGCTGTTCTCACCTGGAGTTTTGTGAGAGAAGCAGCACAGATAGTTTTGGTTTTGTGCAGCACCTCTTTTCCAACCGAGCAGGCGTTTCTTCCGAGTTCTGCCCAATTGCTTTGTCCTAGTGTTGGATTCAGAGGTTGTGAGCTCTGCAGTGAGGAAACTGCAAAGGTACCTTCCAGAATGGCAGCCCTTGAGCAAGATTTCCCAGCAAAATCTTGAGAGCAGTTGCAACTTACTCGATAGTGTGATCAAAAATACTGATTTTAATTCTCTCTGTGTGTGTGCATGTATCCTTGCATCCATGCAAAGCCTGTCGTGAGTGACAAGCAGCTCTTGTACTGTCTAGGGCCAAACTTATTTTTAAAGCCTAGCTATTCCCGGTGTCAGCACAAGTTTCTTTCACCCCAAGCGGCAAGTGAGGTGGTAATGCCTGTTGTTTAACATCAGCTGCAAAGCTTATCTCATTTCTGAGATACTTGTTTGGAAAAGAAGTTGGAACTTGGAGCCAAATACAGTGGAGACATAACTGTTGCCATCCAACAGCTGCATCTGGGCTGAAAAATATTGACTGTATAGTAGCTAAGATATGTAATAAATGCTAACTTTAAGTTAAACATATTGTCAGCTTTACATTTAGTTCTTGGGTCAGAATATCTAAAAAATACTTCTGAACAGTTCTTCCATCTATGCCAACAGCTTGCCATGGCAACATTGTAAAACAAAATGAGGTGTCTTTTTGAATCTTCGGCTGATCTATAACCCACCATATCTTAGGGAAATATGCTGTAAAGATTAATTAGCCTCATTGCTTACCGCTCTTACTATTTTTGAGACACTTCGGTCTTTCTCTATTTAAAAAGAAAATGGACTTAAAGGTAATGTGACTGTCCAGCTGATTCAAACAGGAGAAATCGGCCAGCATTTGTGAAGGAAAAACTACTGCACTCTGCAACTTGGATTTTTTGGAAGTACAGCATGACTTCTTAGGAGAAATTTGCATAATTAAATCATAGTGCTCAGAAAATTAAGCAGCTTGTACTGAGCCTTAGGCATATGGTTGAACCGGACTGATAGCATTATTATTAGTGATCAGATATAATGTTGGAATGGCAGAAACCGCCGTAGTCTGCAAAGATATAAACTGCATTTTTGCAAGAGGGCTCACTGACATTCTCCAAGAGTGCTCTGTGGACTTCAGCTCCTCTGTAGTAGCTCCTTCAACTTAGGATCTGGACATCTGTAGTTTTGAAATGTCATGGACCATCATAAGCCTGTCAACACTTAAGCGCTACAACCTTGACTACAACAAAAGCTCACCTTTAGATCTTTGACCATCTAATGAAAGAATACTAAAGAACCCTCCCCCCCACCCCTTGTCTCTCTGTCCCACAGACATGTCATTATTCCAGATAAAATAACAGTTTACTGTCCTGCCTGAGGCTAGCCTGGTAGTTAGGGTCTCTCCTGTTAGGTAGGAAATGTGGGCTTCATATTTCAGAGTAGGGAAATTTAGTTTCTCCTAGTAAGGATGCTGATCATAGGCCTTGAGTAGTAGAAGGGTTGCAATGTTATGTTGAACTGCACCTCGTCACTGATACGTCCTGAGAACGCTTCATCCAGGGTTGGGACCATTAATGAAGAGGGATGGAGAGATGGGAAATATTTGAATACCAAAAATCTATGATGGGGAGGAAAAAGGTCCTGAACTGCCCAGTGGCATCATGCATGCCTAGACGTGCTCAGAAAAGGGCCCTTGTGCATTTGAAAATCTGTGACATGGAAAACTTCATAGCTAAGATGTCAGATGCTTATAAGGTTGGGTAGAGGCTTGTGACAGTGCTGTGTGATCGTGCTCACGGACGTGACTCCAGCCGACTTGACTCTGAAAGTCCAGAAGTTCAGCAGTGTCAAAGTAGAACCTCATAGATGCATAGCAGCAAAGCTGGGGTTGTCTAATCCACTCCTCTGCTCCAAGGCACCACTGGCTGCACCCAAACCATTCCTGATGGAGAGGGATGGAAATAAACTACCAAAATCTCAGACTGGTCACACTCCAGCCAAAGGGAATTTAGTGAATCAGATCAAAATTTGACTGGTCTGATACAGGCGAAGTAACTTTTGATCTCCAGAGAAAGTTGGGAACTAGAAAGTTGGAAACAATTCCCCCCCCCACCCCCTTGATAGTTTTTTGGTGACTTTTCTGTTCTTGCTTAAGTAGAGGAAGTCACTAAGCAGGAACTGAACCCAAAATCAAGATTCCACCAGTCAGTCTGCCAGGAAGAACTGATTCAGGCTAATCTGCCTTTTCCAACATTTGCCTCCTACGGCACAAAATCACTGTTTGCAGGTTGGATGATGCACTGGGCTGGGACTCCCACTGTCCGATTTCCTGGGTAGGATCCTGAGGATCCTAAGAGAAGTAACACAAGTCTCATTGCTTTCATTCCTCCCTCCCATTTCATTTCTGATATGATCATTGTGAACCCTCTTCATTGTTTTCTCTTTAATCATAATTATTTTTTTTCAGAAGAACCAGTGTTCTCCCTAGTGTGTAACATGAAGCACTAGCGTTGTTAGAAAGTAACGCTGTTAACATGGTGATGGACTTCTGCTGTAGGGTAAAAGGCCAACCCAGTGACTTATCTGAGATACAAGAAGATTAGAAGCCAGAGGTTTTAAAAAACCCTTTTTTTTTCCCCCTTCCCTTAAAGAGAAATTATCATTCTTACAAAACACTCTTTTTTTAAACTGAGTTTAGAAGTTTACAGAGTCCTGCTGATGACAAGCCAGCTTTGAGAAAAGTCCTGGTATTGTGGGTGTCTTCGCAGGGCTGGATTTCATTAGGTGTCTGGGATAATGCCCAGACATGGCCACACTGTTATTTGCAGAGTTGGCTTTTCTTTTCTTGCTCATTTCCTAACTGTTCTGACAACTCGTACAAACACCCATCAGCCTGATAAAGGAGCAGGACAGCGTTGTTTGTGGGAACTGGTCAGCAAGAGACACTTGCTTTTTTGCTCCTGGATTTCCCACCAGGAAGCAGGGTGGGTGTGTAGGTGTGCTTAAGGAGAACTTTCCTACAAGCTCCTGTGTAGGTGTTAAATAACTCCCTGCATTTGCTGATCAAGAGGGGAAGACATCTGATGAGTTGTGAATGAGTGTAGGAGCTACCCAGGCACTTGATGCTTTTTAAAAACCCACCTTTGCCTTCCCTACATCAGGTCCCCATGTCTCTGTGTCAGAGGCCCCATCAGTGTGTGGGTGAGAGGCAGGCAAGGAAACATGTGGATGAGCAACTGGATGGGCTCACTCTCTTGGTGGTCAGTATGGCTTAGTAACTAGTATAGCGAGTTCTGTGATGAGATGGGAACCAGCTGGACAGCTGTGGGTAAATCTGTGTTGTTTCCTGTTGTGTGAGATAGGGGAGTGTGATCCTGCCCTTCCTCACAGAGTGCTCGGAGATGTACAGGTGATCAGAGCTGCATAAGATAGTGCTATTAGTTACGCATTACTTTAGGTGTCTCTAATTGCACTTTTATTGAAGAGTGATTCAAGTACTGTCTCCAAGACCCCAATGATAAATTAAATTTTGTTTCTAGTAAATAGCCAAGCAACTCAAACCTCAAAAACCTCAAAAACCTCAAAAAAAAAAAGAAAAAAAAAGAAAAAAAAAGAAAAAAAACCCCACCAAACATAAACACATTGCACTTTGCAATGTGACCTAGACAGTGTTTCATTTGTGATGAACCACATTCATGGGTGCTGGGGAAACTTAACGCTGGTGATACTGAAATCGTTTGCAGGCTCCCAAGGCATTAAAACCAGGCGTTAGGTAAAGAGTTAAATTATATCAAAACCAATCCAGACTCACTGTGGGGTCATTCATGTGCATGCAATGCAGAGTGTTCAAACACATGGTCTGGTGCTATTAAGAGATTTGTTTTTCTTGTATTTATCTCCTTAGGCCAAGTGTAGACTATTTAAGCTTGGATTCTCTGACCCAATAGTAGGAATCATTTTTTATTCTCAGAGACTTTGATTAAATGGATTGACACACGTGTTTTGTTGTATAGAGTGGACGCACACTGGGTTGCAGGCGCACCTCCTGCAAACTCTTTTTGTGTAGACTTCATTAATATTCTGTTAATACAGCCAAGGCACGCAGCGCTCGGACGCTTAAGCATATTGCTGACCTCAGGTATGTGGGTTTCCCGTTCGGTGTGTAATGGTGCACATGGCTTTGTACTTCGTTGAGCTACCAGAAGTATTTTCATTTTTTGTTAAATTGAGCCGGTATGGATGCAGCGAATGGAATGTGCTTTGGGTGAGAGAGTCTGTCTCAAAGAAAAATTACTGATTAACAGGAGATTTTGAGGGTTAGCTGGTAACATTTAATGCACTCACCGTATCAGACTGATGTGTCATCCGCCGTATGTTTGGCACACTGACCCAATCCGGGAACTCTTATTGCATCTAGTACTTAGCCTGTGCAGCCTTGGACATAAACTGGCACCTATAAGCTGCTCCTGCCTATGCAGTACCTGGGTTCATATTCAGTGGGGTCAAGAACAACTTTTAAACCCCTAAGTGTTGTTGGATTTGTCTCTCAATAGGTTCTCAGCATGGTGATCAATGCAGCTTACAAGCCAGGGAGTGTTTTACGAGAACTGCAGCTAGTGGAAGACCCTCAGTGGAATTTCCAAGAGGAAACACTTAAAGCAAAGTAAGTTTTCAGTGTGTGCACTCTTTTATTTGGGAGGCTTCAAGAATGGAACTGACTGGGGAAAGAAAAAGAACAAAAGATTTTTTTTTTTTTCTATTGTGAGAGTTTTACTTTTCTAATTATCATTTTGCTTCACTGAATTATTTGACTCGTTCTATAGCAACTTAAGAAATGAAATATTCACCTGAATGGTTCATTTCTATTGTCTTTCTGCAAGCAGCCGTCCTGATTTTGATGAAAAATGCCATGTTTATTCAGTGAAGTCCTGAGTTCTGTGATAAGCTGTTCCTATAAGCTTGGCTATTATTGAATTAACTCAATTCCCGGCCCTCTAAATGTAGGAGTATTACTGCTTTTAATATAGAGTCTGTCACTCTAATGCGGAAAAACCTGGTGAAAATGAATGACACAAAAAAAAAAAAGTGCAAAAAAAAAATAGGAGGGACACATTTTTAAGCGGGAGAGCGATTAAGACAAAATACTAACATATCAAAGATTCAGGTCAAGGTTTGAGGTTTTTCAAGAATATATACTTTAATTCTCATCAACACTTAAGAAAACTGTAGAAAATACTCAGATTTCCCTTTCCAACTTTAAAATTTACCCATGTATGTCTTCTTTATGTAATGGTCACTACACTTAGGATGTATTCCAACAGCCATTGTATCTCTGAAAGAAGGGAGTCTCACCTAAACTCTCTGCAGAGACCCTCCAAAGAGCAATTCTTCCTGCTTCAAGATGGATGTCAACAAATAGTTCTTTGAAGACAGTTTTCTCCATTGACTAGCTCGGGTCACCTTGACTTTTTGAATACTCAAGTTAAATGCAGTGAATCTCACCCTTTGTACTGAACTCTTGTTACTCTTTTTCAAATAAAAGCAATTTTCACTTGGTTATTTGAAATGATTGGCTGTCAGATATGGCACTATTGATTGCTATTGTATTTGATCTTCAGCCATGCAGCTATTGCAGAAAGTTCATGTGTGCTTTTATTGAGGGAGGGAGTTGAGAACGTTTTATTCTGCATACTTGGAAACTGCTTTTCTAAAGGAGGATTGCAAATAGAAATGAAAAGCTACTAGAAAATCCCATTTTTAATTTGCTTCCTTCACCCATGTGGAAAGTCATGGTTTTGTGTTTGTCAATTGAAATTTGGTGGATGGAAATCTGAAAGTCATCCTTGCACATGCAGATTTTCATTAAAAACAAGTCGTCGTCCATGACCTGGGTTTCACTGATTCCAGGCTCCCACGCTCTGTACTAGAAAACATCAGATAATGCACTCCCGCAGGTACTTAGCAGTTGTGAAATCAAGTCGTAATGCGCCATCTTAATATCCTGTCCTGCAAAGAATTTGACCTTGCAGGCAGTTTTCCTATGATCGGTATCCAGAATAGGACTTTGTTGGGATTTCTCATTTGAGGGTGGCGATCTGCCTTGTGCAAAAGCAGCCATATCTAGTCCTTGAGGCTGCTGCAATCCTTATTTCTAATGGGAGACAGCCGGAAAAACGTTTAACTGACCATAAAGTGCAGGGATGCCCTTGTCCTTGATAGCCAGCTCTGTCTACAGCCCAATCCACTGCAACCCCAGGCAGCCTGCTGACGCCGGGTGTACTTACACCAGAAAGACCAACTCAGTGATGAGTACATGGGCTGCTAGAGATTGTCACTCATCTGTATCACATCAATCGCTTATCCTCCCTCGCTGTTACCTGATGTGCTAATCATACTGTAATGAGCACCTCCGTCTCCATTACTTTCCCCCATGATGTTTCTACCCATTTATTCCTGTGTCTCCTTCCTCCTCCCATCTATTTAGCAGGGCAGCCAGCCTGCTGGGATATACCTTATGTCTACATAGCCTGATAGATAAAAGTATACCACTGCTTTCCAGCAAGGAGGTTTTGTATTTTATGTTGGCCAGCCAGTCACAGGCTGTGTATGTGTTCCTGTATGATGGCTGACCCAGAAGGCAGCAACCTCAGCTCTTCGGTGAGTCAAGCAGCATCTTTCAACTTCATCAAGCCACAGGATGGATTATTACAGGCTCGGAGCTGGGACAGCAAATTTTGGAGTGACTTCTGAGCATAGCAGTGTATTCTCATTCAGGGTGGCGTTGTCCTTTGGCTCCTGAGGAGACAGAGCCTATGGGCCTGGACAGCACCTTGTTGCTGTAGCTGTCTGGCTTGGGGCTGGAGCTCTGTTCACAGAGTGATGCTCAGTGGTCATTCTGTCTTGCCTGTGGGTAGTTTGAGTACTTTTAAGAGTGGGCGACAGAGGGTTGACATGCCCCACAACTGTCTGACTACCCTAGGACTTCCTTCTCTATTCCTTCCTGAGTTTGCTTTGAGTTACTTCATCAAGAAGCATATCAGGGTTTTAATTGCATTTGGCTGTGCAGAAGCAGAAAAGAAAACATGCCTATGAAATCAGATACCCTGGGATGCACAAACAGCACATGACACTTTGCATCAGGTATATGACAGTCAGTTGAGCTCCAGAATCTTAAACAGAGACCTGTAATGAGCAAATGCCTGTCTAGACCAACTTCCAGCTACACCAGTTCCCAGTGGTGTCTTGCTGCTAATGATGACAGCTCTACAGCCAGCTGGAGTGTCTGTGCTGTAATGTGACATGTCGTGTCACTGCCTTCCTTCTGATGTAGACTGACAACTCCTTGGATCTTGACAATGTTGTTGTTTGTTTGCAGTGACGGCTGCGGTAGGGTAGAGCAATGGGGAGGGAGGAGAAAGGCGAAGAGAAGGCTCTTTTTCCCACTGGCCCAAATGCCAGATCGTGCACTGCCAGGAATGCATTATCTCAGTCCTAGGGTAACCTGCGTTTAGTTTATTCCGCTGTCATGAGTGACCAGCGCAGAATCAATTACACTAGCCTTGCAAAGAAGATAAACAATTTAGATTGTCCAAAGAGATGTGTTTGCAATGCGTGATGGCAGTCGCTTCCCATCAGTGCTGCTGGCTCTCTGTGAAAATAGTCAAACCTGATTCATTGGTGATGATGAGTTAGAAACGTCAGGCCTGATCCTCTGAATTCCCGTGAGGGCCAGCCGAAGCTGTAGGCATTCAACCCTTATGGTTTTGATGCTTTAAATTCAGTGCCTACATTTAGATTTGGCTTCCCAATTTTACATGACGTGCTTGAGGGACTTCATGCTTTTTAAGGGTTTTCATAGGTAAGGGCTGTAAGTGGAGTGTTTGAACTAACCCAGTTTTGCAGGAGTTTGGACATAAACAGGACCAGTGTGTGCAGAGAGTTACCTTCTGGGTCTTGTGTGAAACCCAGTTAATCAAAATAAGAAAGATGAGTATTCCTGGACTCCTTCATTAAATGGAATTTTGAGCACTTCCCAAAGCCAGTAGCTGATCTCTAGGAATATTAATCCCCATCACAGACACCATTGCTTTGAACCAGATGGGATGCAGCTAGCTTTGCTTAAGAGAACCGACCAATGTCATTACAAGGCCACTTGGTGTCATGTTTGAAAGCTGAAGACTATTAGGGAGTCACAGAATCACAGGATGGTTTGGGTTGGAAGGGACCTTAAAGATCGTGTAGTTCCAACTCCCCTGTCATGGGCAGGGACACCTTCCAGTTCCCTCAGGACTTGCTATAATATTTCAGCTCATCAGGTCCCATGGACTTGTCCTCCTTCAGGTTCCTTGCTCAGATGGTCTCAAACCTGATCTTCTCCTGCAGTGGGGGATTCTTCCTTCTCCTAGTCCCACCTTTGTCTTCTGCATTTTGGGCAGTGTGGCTGGAGCACTTGCTGGTGAAGACTGAGGCAAAAAAAAGTTGTAGACAACCTCAGCCTTCTCCATATCCTGAGTAACCAGGTCTGCTGATTCCCTCCAGAGAGGGACCACGTTTTCTCTAGTCTTCCTTTTATCACAGATGTACCTATAGAAGATTTTCTTGTTTCCCTTGATGTTCCTGGCCAGATTTAATTCTGTCAGGGCTTTGACCTTCCCAACCTGATCCTTGGCTGCTCAGACAAATTCTCTATATTCCTCCCAGGCTACCTGTCCTTACTTCCACTCTCTGTAGGCTTCCTTTTTTGTGTTTGTCCAGGAGCTCCTTGTTCACCCATGCAGGCTGCCTAGAGTTTTTGCCCGACTTTCTCTTTGTTGGGATGCATCGCTCATGAGCTTGGAGGAGGTCATCCTTGAATATCAGCCAGCTTTCTTGGGCCCCTCTTCCCTCCAGGGCTTCATCCCATGCTACTTTATGAAATAGATCCCTGAAGAGGCCAAAGTCTGCTCTCCTGAAGTCCAGGGTAGTGCCCTTGCTGTGTGCCCTCCTCTCTGCCCTAAGGACCTTGAACTTCACCATTCCATGGTCCCTGCAGCCAGGGCTGCCCTTGAGCTTCACACTCCCTGGCAGCCCCTTGTTGGTGAGACCAAGGTCCAGCACAGCTCCTCTCCTCGTTGACTCCTCTGTCACTTGCAGAAGTTATCATCAGCACACTCCAGGAACCTCCTGGATTGCTTGTGCCCTGCTGTGTTGTGCCTCCAACAGACACCGGGGTGGTTCAAGTCCCCCGTGAGGACCAGGGCTTGTGAACGTGAGGCTGCTCCCGTCTGTCTGCAGAGGGCCTCATCTGCTCGGTCTTCCTGGTCGGGTGGCCTGTAGCAGACCCCCACTGTAATGTCACCTGTCCCTGCCCTGCCTTTAATCCTGACCCATGAGCTCTCGGCCGGCTCCTCACCCATCCCCAGGCAGAGCTCCTTGCACTCCCGCTGGTCACTGACATAGAGGGTGACCCCCCCTCCTCGCGCCCCTGCCTGTCCTTCCCAAAGACCCTGTATCCTTCCATTCCCACACTCCAGTCACAGGAGCCGTCCCGCCACTCTCTGTGAGGCCAGACTGTAGCCCTGCAGGTGTGTGCACGGCTCTAACTCCACCTGTTCATTCCCCATGCTGCGTGCGTTTGCACAGAGGCATTTAAGCTGGGCCCCCAGTGAAGCTGACTGACTGGCTGGAGGGGCTGGAATTCCTTTGTGCTGCTCTTCAGGCGCTCTCCTGCTGGCCTGGGATCCTTCTCCAGGCTCTGGGCATCTATTTCTGGCACTGGAAGTTTCCTGATGCCTGGAAAAAGTCAAACATCACACCCCTTCATAAGAAGGGCAAGAAGGAGAATCCAAGTAACTGTCATTCCTGGAAGGTTATTAGGCAAATTCTCCTGGAAGCCATTTCCAAGAACATGCAGGACCAATAGGTGACTGCCAAGAACCAGCATGGATTTACAAAGGGCATGTTGTGCTTGATGTGGTAACTGGTTTGGTGGTTGAGGGAAAAACAGTGGAAGTTATTTATGTTGATTTTAGCAAGGCTTTTGGCACAGCCTCTCATAGTGTCCTTATAGCCAGGCTGTGACGATGTGGATTTGCACGTGTGTGTGATGAGTGGAAAGTTGACTGGACAAATGAACCCGAAGGGTTGCAATCAGTGATATGAAGTCCAAGTGGCAGCCAGTTATGCACAGTGCTCCTCAAAGGCTAGTACAAAGCTATGGCTCATACGATCTAGTTTGTCTTCCACATCAGCTCTGCCACATACTTTTTGAGGCACTGCAAGGGTGAATTAGTGTGACCACATGGCCTTCTGCACCAAATACTGAAAAGTCATTAGGACCAGTGGAATGACTTAAACCCTTTATTTCCATAGCCAGGAGGAGACTTAACAAGACATGTCCTTACAACCAGGACAGTTCCAGAGCCCTTTCTTTATCCTGTTTTCAAGAGTAGAAAATGTCACTGGAGGATTAAATAGCTTTGGAGGAAGATAACTTCTTGTGGTTTGACAGACTTTAAGCTGAGAAGACAAATCAGAAATTTACTGCCAAAGAACAGATAGGAATTTTTGGTTCCCTAAAATGAAGCTGAGGCACTTAGCGACTGAGTTGTTCAACCGAGTCTCAAGTATTGTCAGAACTGTGGGCTGAATCCTTATGATAAGACACATGAATATGAGGGTAGTTTTAGTGTTCTTACTGTTTGAAGTGTCTTCAGCACAAGACTTTCCATGTCATCACCTAAAGGACACGTGGACAAGTGCCAGGTCCTGCCCTTGGGCCACAACAACCCCCTGCACGGCTACAGGCTTGGGGAGGGGTGGCTGGAGCTGTCTGGGAGAGAAGGGTCTGGGGGTTCTCATGGACAAGCAGCTGAACAGGAGCCAGCAGTGTGCCCGGGTGGGCAAGAAACCAACGGCATCCCGGCTTGTGTTAGAAATAGTGTGAGCAGCAGGAGCAGGGAGGTGACAGTCCCCCTGTGCTCGGCACTGGTGAGGCCACACCTGGAGGGTTGTGTCCAGGCTTGGGCACCTCAATCCCAGAGAGATCTGGAGGGGCTGGAGTGAGGGCAGAGGAGGGCAACGAGGCTGGGGAAGGGCTGGAGAATAAATCCTGTGAGGAGCCAGGGAAGGAGCTGGGAGTGTTGAGGGTGAGGAGGAGGAGGCTGAGGGGAGCCCTCATCCCTCTCTGCAGCTCCTGACAGGACATTGCAGAGAGGCTGGGGCTGGGCTCTGCTCCCAGGGGATCAGGGACAGGACAAGGGGGAATGGCTGGAAACTGCCCCAGGGGAGGGTCAGGCTGGGCAGGAGGAGAAAATGTTTCCCAGCAAAAGTGGTCAGAGTGGAACAGGCTGCCCGGGGAGGGGGGATTCCTCATCCCTGGGGGGGTTTCAGGGCCGTTGGGATGAGCTGTGGGGGATGTGGTGTAGGGGAGAACTTTGTAGAGTCGGGCTGAGGGTTGGGCTCCATGATCCCAAGGGGCTTTTCCAACCTGAATGATTCTGTGATTCTGTGATCACATGATGGTCCTTTACTGGAGCTCCTAGAGGGAATTTTGTTCTCATGAACCTCTGATCTATTTCATCAAAGGAAGCTTCAACAGAAACATCATATCGCCAGCAAAGTGCTATTAGCTTAATATTTTTGCTCATGGATTAGCAAAGACCCCAGTATGTTCTGCACGGGAGTTGTTTCAGCCATAACCATTTCTCCAGTTTTTGGGATCTGAGCGCAGAGAAAGGGGGAAAGAAAAGGAAGATTTCTTCGGTTTCAGATGAAAAATCATTTTAAAAAGAACAGTGATTTCTATGAAAACTGAAAATGTTGTGCTCGACACGCTATTTTTAAAGTCGCCAGTGCTGCCGTGCTGTGCATGCAGGTTACTGCTTACAAGTGGTTGGGAAGATAGGAGTCCTAGTATGAAAACATCAGTAAGAGTATCAGTAGTTGGTAAATTTTTGAGTGATGCTAATGGAAAAGGATTTTCTGATTATATCCAAAGGAACTCTTTCCACATGGCTGTCCTAGAACAGCTCAGATTACATTTGGTGGTGTTTGTGTTAAAAATTTTTAGCGTGTGAGGAATATGGAAAATATTAGTAGAACCTGGTTTACAGTTGAAAGAGGTGTTACCAGAGCAAAAATAACGTAAAAAATATTACTGTGGCCAGTACTAACACCTTGGGTTATTGAAACTGATTGCTGCAGTCATGTTGATCTCCATTTTGCCATCCATTCTGTTAATTGCTGTGTGTGTTGCATTCAAACCAAACTGTGAAATCAGTCAGTAGTTCATTTTCCTAGTTTCATCTTTTTCTTTCACCAAGCACTTTAGTACAGTGGGTCCTTTCTGAGCAGCCAAACACAATCAGAAGCACACAGTTAGAAGAAGTCAGCCATCCTTGAATAATACCCATCAGGCAGCTTTCTCAGCTTATAAGGAAGAAGATCAAGAGGCAATTTGATTACAGTGCTTTTGCAGGGAAACAAAACCAGATGCAGCCGTTTCATCCTAGTGGTGAAAGTCAGAACAAGGACAAATAAATGTAAGTTAAATCCAGAAATATCCAGAGATAAAGTGAGGCATAGGCTTCTGAGGTATCGGTACAGGTGCTCCTGCTGCCATTCTTCCAATGTGGAGACCCTTGAGGGGAAGCTGGTGGTTTTCTGGAAGTGATGCTGTAGTCCAACCAAAGTTGTCGGGGTTCAGGTGAAGGTAATGCAGTGAAATTCTGCAGCTTGTCACAGGAGTCAAACTTATTGACCTAATGGTCTAGGCCATCACTAAACCTAATGGCTCCTGGAGAAGTAATAATGGCAGGAGTCTTTTCAAACACACTGAAAAGAAATATATAATGTTTATAAGCAGATATATTTAAATGCCTGTGGGATGTGTTCTTTTGATAGGAGTCCAGGTGTGTCACCATGACCTGGGGTTCTTGGTTGTGCACCAAGTGGGGTATCAGAGCCTGGTGCCCTGCAGAAACACTCATTTAGGTTCTGGAAGAGGTTTGTGTTGAGGTGATACTTCAGATCAAGTCTTCCACAACATGAGGATGGTTGGACTGGGCAGGTCTCAGACCAAGTTTCATTTGGGTAACCCTCTCTAAACACTTTGTGTACCACAGTTCCAAACCCTTTTCCCATACCCCAGTGTTCACAGAAAGAGGATTTGGGAGGGAGAGCAGCAAAAGGCGGTTTCTCAGTTGCTTTGCACAACTGGGTAAAACATTCAGAGAGAGGGAATTGGGTCTGGGCACATGCTGTCTATTTTAAGTCTCCGGCCACGTCTTATTTGTTTTGCCTTCTCCTCCTCTTCTTCTTCCATATCTGACTTATCAGCAGCCGATTCCCTGCTGGGGAATTGTGGATCTTAATGCACTTACAAATGCTTTGTCTCATTTTTTCTGACGACTGTATCTTTGTCTTTCATTGCCTCTCATCCAGTAATCTTTCTTTCACTGCCTCTCCCTCGTTTTCTTTTGTGTGTGTTACTTTTCTCTCCTCTAAGCACATTTATAATGCCTTAACACCAGGCGTTTGCATGATTGTCTCTTGTGTAGCATTCCTCAGGATGTGCAAGAGATGTTTTAAAAACCTTATCTCCCTGTTTACAATAGCTTGGTGCTGCTGTTTAATAAATTATGGGGATAATTGGTTTTTCAGAGTTCATATCTACAATGTATTACAGCAGGGATGTAACTGTATCTTTCTCAGCCATTTATCGCTCAGAAACAGTTCATATAAAACCCTGAAATAAATGTTTTAGTAGCACATGGATAACAAATTTAAGACAAAACTTTCATTGCAGATTTCTGCTCTAAGCATTCCCTGTAGGAATCAGTTTTTAGGGCCTTTTGCTGCAACCCCATTAAACAACTCAAGAGACTCCTGATTAGTTCCTTGGGTATTGTATTGTATTACCCACATCTCATAGCGGTGAAGTCATCTGGCCCCTGTATGGCAGACACTTAGATACTTCTATACAGTGTGTGCATCCCCGTGACCAGTCGGCACAATAAAACTGTGGTCGTGTTGTGAGATGGAACGTGATACGAGAGCTGCCTTGAGAAGGGTGGCCATGGAGAAGACCCAGGAGTGTATTGGCACTTATAGAGACAGTCTCCAGTGCAGCTGAAACACAGGGTGGTGACCAGAAGTCTCTGCAAGGCATATAAGCTGCTCATCACATGTCAATATTTGAAGAAAGACTACATCCCTCTCCCCAAAACTTTCCATCAGTTCATAGTATGGGCTTGCTGTCCTGTGTAGTATCCTCACCAAGCCTGCTGTGATATTTTTCCACCTCTTGCTGTATCTAGAGATATATCCAGTCTGCACATGCATTCTTTCCCAGATCTTGTCCACACCTCTGATTCATCTCACCCCGCCTTTCCTTCCTCAAGTCCATTTGAAATGGAGCCACTAAAACTAGTAGACCTGTTCTGCCTGCCTGCCTTGCCAAGAAAGATCCTCTTCCAAAAGTGATTAGAGAAGGTTTCTCCCTAACAGGAGAGTCTGTGCTGCAGCATTGAAGGACATCACTTGATTGGTGACATGAGGTGTTGTGCTCTTTTCTAGATACAGAGGGAAGACGTACAGGGCGACTGTTAAGATTGTGCGGACATCGGATCAGGTAGCGGATTTCTGCAGAAGAGTCTGTGCAAAGTTGGAGTGCTGCCCCAACTTGTTCAGTCCTGTGCTGGTGGCTGAAGTCTGCCCAGAGAACTGCTCTATTCATACTAAAACCAAGTACAGTGAGTATTGGCCAAAATGCTTCTTGTTGTTAGCTGGAAGTCAGAGCAGTGGGAGACGGCATGATCTAGTGGTGAAGAACAGTTGTGTAATACATTAATATTCAGTAGGATTCATCTCACCTGAGAGCAGTTACTTAATCCTGACTGGGCCACCATAAGCTCCCTTACTGTTCTGTACAGAGAAAGAGGCATCTCTAAAAAAATATCCCATCTCACTCCATCCTAATATATCTGTTTGAAAGTCATCACTTTTTGGAAGTCTTGACTTCTCTTCATATGTAAAGTTAATATAAGGAGCACATAAAAGGAACAAGCAGTGACCAGCTAAGATTTAAACTGCTACATCTGAGACAGCTTTGTTAGGTGAGATGAATCCTGTCCTGCTCCATGAAGAGTTTCCGACATACTCACCAGCACAGGCCAGTATCACGATGCTGAAGTTCTGGCAGGAGTTTGGGAGAACTGACTCTCTTTGCTCAGGATGTTTAATATTTAAACATGTTCCTGCCTACTCAGGGAGGCTGAAGTTAGGCATGTGTGCCACAGTTTTTTGTTGTCAATGTTACTGATATTATTGACTCTTAAATGTATCAGAAAAGTGGATGTGAGTGCTGTCCTTCTTCCTCTAAGGTTCCAAGAAACAATAAGTTTGATTTAAACCAATTAACTTCTCTTTGATGCCAGAGTAGAAAGAGAAATGGGCACAGGGAGATATTCTGATCATTGAATATGGGGTTTTATATAAGTCTATACATGAGCTAGACTCTTCCACTGGTAGCAAATGAGGAGTAGAGCTGGAGGAGTACAGCTAGGGGAGCTCCAGCTAAGATTGTTTCATCTCAGAGTTGTTGGTGGTGTGTGGCTGGAGGAATTGTCCCTCAAAACTCCATGAAAGCCTCAGTTCAGTGATGAACTCTGACATGGGTGCTAAGTGCTATTTTAGTTGTCCAGGATACCCCAGATGGTGAAGGGCAGAGTATCTGTCAGCCCCAGAGGATGCTCTGGAGCATGTCAGAAGGCATCTAATGTCAGCACCTAGTGTAAGGTCAGAGGACTCTCACATCCTTCATTTCAACTTAGGCCACAAAATAGTTGAAGGTAATAAAAACCTGTTCCTTTCTGCGTTGAACAAACATACATAATTCAGTATAGCTGGCCCTCTCCGCTCTCTGCTGAAAACATTAGCAGCTGAAAGTGTATCCAGGACTCTTAACTCAAGCAGAAGGGTGTTGGATCTGAAGCATGCTGGCCTCTTTCCCTCCAAATCACCGCTTGGCTTACTGGAAGCTTTTCCTAAGTACATATTGTAGGGTTAAATTCTAAACTCCTCACTCATCACCAATAAATATGTATACAAAAGAGCTGTAACACTCTGTGCTAGTCCAAGATGACATCTTATATTTACACTGGACATTTTTTCCAAATCAATGTATTTTCAAGTTTCCCGTAAAAGTGCACCTAGAGTGCAGTACTGAAGCAGTAGCAATAAGCAAGCCAAAGTTTTCTTCTTGGTGGTTAACGTTTTTAATGGGTATTTCGCTTCATTTCCCCAGCTTATTATTATGGGAAGAGGAAAAAAATCATTAAACCACCAATTGGAGAAAATAACAACATGAAAAGTGGATATGTCAAGCCAGCCAGACGTAGAAAAAGGCGGAAATCCATCTTTGTGCAGAAGAAAAGGAGATCATCAGCTGTTGATTTGAATGCTGCAGGCTCTGCAGAGGTATGTATTGCACCGGGATAAATCAGCAAAAGCCCCGTGGTGTTTTTTTTTGTCCTCCCATCTGTGTCTTCCTTTTGAGGGATTTCACAGCAAACCTTAACACTTCAGTTTTCCAGTTTGAGTCACTCCTTGCTACTCTGTTCTTCTTAGGTCAGACTGGTTTTACTGGGACACTTCGGGGACTTTTACCCTTGTCCATTCTAGAGTTGGGAAATGGAAGTTTTGCTCCCACCTTCATAACGCTCACTAGCTAACATGCTGTCTTAATAGTTTATCTTTGTTTTCCTTTGCATCCTTACAAGACTGTAGGCAGGCAGATGAGCCCCTTAGATGCTTTGCACAGCATCTGGCAGACTGAAGGAGGTCTGTAATCCACATCTAGGATCTCTTAAGTTTTATGATAAATAATAATTACTCATTGGCCATTGTGGTTTCAAGGGCTTTCATTTTTTCATTAACCATTCATATTTTTGGCTCACAACGTGAAGCAATGGACATTCTAGAAGCTTTAGAAAGTAAGCAAATTATTTTTGTCCTAAATATATGTTATTTGAGGCCTCAATCTTTGCAGAATGCCATGTGATATGACAGGGTCCCAACTTCAGCAAAGTTTCGTGTCCAAATACAACCTGAAGCAGACTTAGCAGACTGTTCCCAGGTGGTTTTCCCATGATAGTAATGACAAAATTCATGTGTGGTTTCCTTTCCTCAGCTGAGTGCCAGTGATTGCTGCTTTGTGTGATGTGAAATAAAACTGATTTACTTAAATTCCCTCTACTTGAGCTGGAGAGGGATATTTTAGTCAGCTTTCAGTTGATTGCTTGCATCTTCATGACTTGGTCCTCATTTAGATGTAGTTCTGCTTCATTTCCTTAGATTATACCTGCTTCAAAGGAATTTAAACTCATGTTAAGCCTAAATCACCCATTAGCCAAGTTTTTCAGCCTTTCAGCCATTATAACTAACTTTGTCTAAAATTGCTCTTTCGCTTAAGACCTAAGCATATGGCTTGGATGCATGCTCACACTTTGATCAGAGCTAAGCTGTCGAAGCCATTTGGGCCGCTTATGTATATATAAACTTGAAAATACACATTTTTCCATCAGTTGGTGTGTTCTTGCAAGTGCTATGTGACAGAAATAACAAGAATCTGGTATAATATCCTTTAAGTGGAAATCTGTGCTTCACCTTCAGCAGTTAGGTGTTGGGCTGAAAGCAGGGAAATCTGGGTGAAATCCTATGTCCGAGTTTTACAGAAATTCCAGCTAAGAAACTAAGTACAAGTATGCACTTGTACATCACGATATTTTTGAAAGGCACTGAAATGTCTTACAAGGAGCACCTGAGGGAACTGGGGGGGTTTAGTCTGGAGAAGAGGAGGCTGAGGGGAGACCTCATCGCCCTCTACAGCTCCCTGAAAGGAGGGTGCAGAGAGCTGGGGATGAGTCTCTTTAGTAACAAGCGATAGGACAAGCGGGAATGGCCTCAAGTTGTGCCAGGGAAGGTTTAGACTGGATATTAGGAAGCATTTCTTTCCAGAAGGGGCTGTTGGGCGTTGGAATGGGCTGCCCAGGGAGGTGGTGGAGTCCCCATCCCTGGAGGGGTTTAAGAGTCGGGTTGACCCAGCACTGAGGGATCTGGTGTAGTTGGGAACTGTCAGTGTTAGGTTAATGGTTGGACTGGATGATCTTCAAGGTCTTTTCCAACCAAGGTGATTCAGTGATTGTGTAATTTCCTTCCTTTCAATACCAGTGACACCTATGACAACTTGAAGCAAGGTGAATGTTTAAATTTTCTGGGTTTATTTCATCTCAAGCAACCTGAGTTTCCTTTTATCCTTTTAGTATTTTCCATTTCCCTTTCTCACGCACATCTGCAGTGCCAGAAGGTTAGAGATGCAAGCCCAAAGGAGGAACATTTCATGCCAGATGAGTTATTGCCATTGACCTTTTGTTAGAAACAAAAATTAATTTGTCCTCCATGTATTTTTTCCTTCTACGTTTCGTAACAAATCTAAACTGAGGGCTAATCTACTTAGCACTGTAATGAAAATGAGATAACTCGGTTAAAATAAATGTTACCCCGGACTGGCACGGGCACGGGCGTGCAGTTTGACCTAGTGCCTTTCGATTTGCTGCTGTATTAATCTCAAAGCCCGGATGCTGTTTCTCCTTGTGCAGGAGAGCGAAGATGACGAGCCAGACGCAATGGAGGATGAGACGGGGAGCGAGGAAACCAGCTCAGAGCTTCGGGATGACCAGACAGATACCTCTTCTGCTGAGGTCCCCTCCGCCAGGCCCCGGCGAGCGGTCACCCTGCGCAGCAGCACTGAGTCGGACAGACCTCCTCCTGCGGAGAGAGCCCGACGGAGCCGGAGGCCACAGCCCCACTCCTATGGCGAGGCGGAGAAGTGTGCACAAGTCAAGGAAGTGAGTATGTCCATAGGTTTTCACTCCCAGTTAATAGCAGTCTTCTTCCTAAATCAACCTTCAGTGACAGCCCTTGTTCATCTGGGGAGGGAATCCCTGCTCTGGTTCTCCACACAAAGTAGTTTTCTTTATGAGAGCTTTTCTGTTTTTCTTAGGAAATTAAGCAAGAAGAGGAAGAAAAGCTCATCCTGGACAGTAACCCATTGGAGTGGACCGTGACTGATGTTGTGAGGTTTATTAAACTGACCGACTGTGCACCCCTTGCCAAAATATTTCAGGAGCAGGTAGAGGTCTTCATGTTAACTCTTCTCCTTGTGTCTGTGGTGCTTATTCACCTCACACACAAAAAAAAAGAGGAGCACATACCACCTTGCTAGCTTTGACAAAGAGATTATGATCAGACTTGAGATCCCCTCAGGCCAAGTTGTAGTACAAATTTTGGCAAGGCACAGAAACCCTTGGAAACCTGAATCAGAGCCTTGCCACGTCCTCAGAGAGACTAGAAACACCCCAGCTGGAGTGCTTGCAAAAAACAGGAGGTTTAGACCTTGTTCGTGCCAATGTCCACAGCACCAGCCTGGTGTCACACAGGCACCTCAGCGTACCAACAGGTAGTGGTTATTTGGTACCTAGCAAGCTGTGTCTGGTAGCCACATGGTTCCATCCTATTTTAAAATACTGGCCTGGGAAGCACAAAAGTGCTGCTTGCACCCAAAACTAGCTGCCTGAATTTTGTCACTTAACACCTAGATGCTTCAAGTATGTAGACACCTAGTTCCCATCTACATCCCTCTGAAGATCTGGCAGTCAGGCTCTTGGATGACCTAATTTTAGGAGATGCTAAGCATCTCCCTGTTAAGCAGACAGGTTTGCAGGGGCAGAATCCAATGCTCTTCATCTCAAGTCAGTGTGAACGTGTAAAAATTAGATAGAAACAGCCATTCCTTGACTAATGAGTAACAGCTGCTGCTCAAAGTAAAGGGCAGCGCTAAGAAATCATAGTTAGGAAGAAGCAAGTGTGGTTTATTAGGGCATAGCTGATGGCAGTCAGTGCTATGGCCAACTGCACATTGACCTGTCTCTGATTCTTCACCACAAATAACTCTGTACCCGAGTACAGCTGCTTTGACTGGGAGAAGTTGAAGTGAGAGTCTAGAGCAGGGCTGAAACACTCCATAGCTGTAGTCACTGCGCTGCAGCGTGCTCTGACCGTTTGTTAATCAGCCTGGAATAACGCCAGGGCTTGGAAGCCAACCCTGTCTCTCCTTTGCCAAAGAGTTTTATGGGGACTTTAATCGAACACAGATGACCGGAGCTTTTCCTTGTGATTTGCAAGGAAGCTCTGGTGCAATGGGCCATGCCATCAAGCTTCAGTGGAGGAAGAACCTGAGCTGTGGACAGTCCTGATCAAAGCAGTGCTTAAGGTGTCCAAATCCTCCTCGTGTTTAATGCTGCCTAATCAGGGCCGGCCTGGGGAGTTTTATGTTGCCTGTGAGTTACAGTTCTTTTCTGCACTTCGACTCTGATTCTCCCTAAGGGGTAAAAAGCAGTTTTTGTAGCCTGCTCGTCTGCTTCTCAGTCCATTAAAGAATAAAGAGGACTTGAGCTCTTAATTACGAAGAGGATCCTAACTGGCACAATAGCCAACAGAAATCCCTAATAAAATGGCTTTTGTCTGGGGTGCTAGTTGATGGAGTTTGATAGGCCTGAGGGAGGGATGTGATCTCCAGAGGTCTCTTCCAGCTCACACCATTCTGTGATTCTGGGACTTTAGAGAGTGCAAGGGCTCCGGGTGGTCCAGGCCCCTCGGTCTTGGTTGTTCAACAGCTGAAGTGGAACAGGGCAGGTCCTGGGTGGACCAGGGGGCATGGCGTGGAGCAAGGCAGACAGAAATCTTTGCAGAACAAGTCACGGGCCAAAAGAAGTGGGAGAAAGGTCTGACTGATGTGGGACCCGCATCAGTTTCTCCATTCATCTTCCTCCTGTGTCTCCTGGTGTGCTCCCTGCAGCCTCCCCCTTGTTTCAGTTCTTCAGTCATAAAATGGGACTAGTCAGGTCTCTGTGGACCCTGCAGAGTTTCTGTAGAAGGTGATTCTGCATTTCAGCAGCTGGGAGGCTTTTTCCAAACTGGGGGCAAGGCGAGAGCCTATGAAAACACACTAGACAACTTTTGAAAAAGCATGAGGTATCACCAAGAAAGGAGATGGGCAGCATCAAAGTGGGAGAAGAGGGCAGAGGAAAAAACTACCTTTAATTTTTGGGGCAAACTTCACTTCTTGCTTTTCCAGACCTAGTATGCTTTCTGCCCTCTGGAGTCCACAAACAAACCCATTTTCCCTGTCTGTTTTCTTCCCCAGGACATCGATGGCCAAGCCCTTCTGTTGCTGACACTGCCCACAGTGCAAGAATGCATGGAGCTGAAACTTGGTCCAGCCATCAAACTGTGTCACCAGATCGAGCGAGTAAAAGTTGCTTTCTATGCACAATACGCCAACTGACTGCACTTCTCCATTTCTTTCTGTTCTCCTTCTTGTTCCCTCTCTTTTTTAACATTGCAGCTTGTTCAAGGTTGTTTGTTTTGGTTTTTTTTTTCCCCCCTACCCCTTATCTTTTCCAAGAACACGTGGAATTGGAAGCACTGGGAATTGAATCTGTAGGGAAGAAAAAAATAACCCACAACCGAAAACTAACAACAAATTGAACTAATTTTTTTGTACTTGTAAAGCACACTGAAAGACTGCTGGCATTTCTCCTGTGAGCCTCGCCAACCCGTTACGCAGTGGTGAAGGCCAGCACGGATCAGATGGTTTGTCATTCATTAAAACAAAGCTACCGATGGCAGACATTCCCAAGGAGAAGGGATGGACATTTCCAGATGATGGTGGTTTGTCTAGGCCAATTTTTGGACATGAACATTTCTTTTAGCCAACTCTGACACACTTCTTTCATATTGAAATATAAGTGATCATTTGTAGCATTACCTGGGGTTTACTGCAAATTTGATCTTAGTGATCAATGGGCTTTTTTTCTCCCATCTGTCTTAGAAAAGGAAAAAAGTGTTATACCAGTCATACGCTGTTTGTTATTCTTGAGTGATTTATGAAAGAGGACTCAACTGATGGTCTCTGTATGGTATCAGACAAAGCTGCAGCAAACTGACAGGGGTGCAACAAGACCCTGAGCTGCGCTGGCTGGGCACAATAAGCTGAATGTCTCTGTGCCCAGAGCTGTACAGTACTGCCTTCTTGTACAGGAGCATGCATGAAAGCTTTCCCAGTCAAGCCCATGCTCTTAAATCCAAGTCACTTAAAAGACCTGACTTTGAGCCCCGCAGAGTAAAAACAAAAAGGCTATTCAGATGTAATGATGAGACTGTTGAGTGAATGCTGGTTTCATTTGCACCTTCATGAACGCTAAGTGGGAATAAAAAAAGCATCAATCTTTCCAAGCTGCATATACCATGGTGCTTTAGACCAGCTGAGGATCTGGCCCAACACAGTCTATATACAGCCCCCAGTTTGTCCCAGTGCCACCCTGGCTAGTGAAACTGAGGGCTTGCTTCATGCCAAGCAGTGTAAGCACCAGAGAGGGTGAAAAAGGGGGTCAGGCACCTCGAGTTTGCCTCAGTTGTGTTTATAGAAGTATTTCCCATTTGAAGGGATGTATGACCCCATTAGTTCCCATGTGTTGAGCCTGAATTTGCTGTAACTCAGCAGAGGCTGGCAGCATCAAAATGATGTAAAATTTTCCCAAAAGCAAGAACTGGGACCAAGTCTGAATTTTGCTCTAACTTCAAGGTGCAAGTGAATCCTTCCTTTAAAAACTGAATTGAATGGTTCATGCTGAGTTTTAGCCCAATTTCATAGGAAACCACTGACTTTGGCAGACTTTTGTTCTCAAATCATAAACAGACCCCTGTTCTCTGGCCTCAGGGAACTGTTTGGAAATTGTACACAGCTCTGTTAGAATGCTGTGATGCCAAAGCCCACTCAGTGAAGACCTCTTCAAAAAGAAATGTCATTTCTAGGCCTAAATCTGAAGCCATCGCTTATGGCCAGATAACCCTCACCCTCAAGCACATACCATATGGTGATGGATCAGTAATTCTGCTGACCACCGTGTGCCCAGAAGAACCTACAGACTAAACAGCACGCTATGGCTGCTCCTTTCTCCTTCAGCAGTTTCTTCCTTAAATTCTTTGGATTAAGGGGAGAAAACCTCAGAAATAAATATTCTGGACTACATCAGAATCTGCCATAGAGCATGTGTTACGCAAGAAGTACTGACTCTGTTTGCCATGCATCACTGGGGAATTTCTAGTCTGTCTTTCAGTGAGTTTCCTGATTTGCCACTGAGGAATGGGATGGGTGCAACCACTGCAGGCTGGGCCAGATCCTGCCAACTCCTGAGACTTCACCAGTAATTTTCTTACATGGGAGATCAGCAGGACTGGATCTTTTCTCAGCTCTTGTCTTGTACTGACGATCTTGTTGGTCGAGTTTTAATCAACTGAAGGGAAAAGTAGTCACCTCTGCATCAAATGGTTTTCTTTTGTTTCTCAGAAATCCAGCAATAGGGTTCTGTAGTGGTGCAGACATACAAAAACTGTGGTTTTGACTGGATTTCCTACTGACAGTAGCAGTGGACTGTGACCATGCAGCTGGTTTGATAACTACTTTGGATCCCTCTTAAAGTCCCGTAAAAATGTTGCTCCTTGTTTCGTGTCTGAAGACAAAAGGATTGTGCCCAGCAAAATGAGAGCACAGCTGAGAGAGAGGGAGGGTGCTTCTCCCAGCTCCTCCTTGCTTCAGCCCAGTCCCTCCGGTGGCTTGTATAACATCTGTCAGCAGGAGCTAGCTCCCAAAAGACTGCTGTCAGGAGAACTGGCGTATGAGGACGTTTCGAGGAAGGAAAGCAGAATGGCTGTTCGCTAAACAGCATCCCAGCGCTGATCCTTTGCTTACCACATCCACCTTCTCCTGAGCATCCTTTGCTGCTCTGATGTTCTTGGAGTTTCTGGGATTTGTCAGAGACATTTAACACTTCCTGGGACATGTTGCAAAAACGTCACGGTTTTCTCCATCAGCCTTGTAACTGTAGATAATTCCTACGGCAGCTAAGTACTCACGGAGGCACGGCTGGGGAGCAGACAGCTGCAGTCTCTGAGAGCAACCAGCTCTGATGTTGGCCAAGCAGGGGATGGGTGAAGCATTGAGCCCAGCACATGGGAGTCCTTACTGATTGTTCAGGGAAGTTAAAACGTATTTAAAACTCACCTATTAAAACAACAACAACAAAAAAGAGTTTTAATTTTATCTTGCGCCGGCTCTTTCATTTTCTCAGGTTTCTATCTCCTCACCATTTGTCTTTCAATTTTTGTCTCATTTATCACTCTGTCCTTTCAGAGAGGATAATATCCTAAAATTACCTTGGGTGGTAAATGCTTTGTTATTTCTTCTAGTCTGTAGGTTGGAAAGAAATAGGGGATTGGGCTACAGTTATCTGTTGCACTGATTGCCTTCCAGAAAAGCTGGAGCTGAACTTCTTAGGCAGTTTCTTAAGAAAGTAGAAAACAGTGTGTAGTTCAACTGGACAGTATGCCTGGATTGTCACTTGGAGCTTGAGCAGAGATCAGAAGGAACTACTTACTCTTGCTTGGACTTTGTTTCAATTCTGGAACATTAGTAAGGCTTTGGAGTAATGCATCTCAAAGGAGATGTCAGAAACCTGATCTTGCTAGGGTGAAACATTACTTTACTTCGCAATGCAGAGGCATAAACCACTGGAAGTTTTTTTTTTTTTTGGTCCAGCCCTGGTTCTGGATTAAATTCAGAGATGGTGCAACATCATAGATACACTGATGACATTGGTGAAACCACATCTTTTCCCCTCCCTGTTCTGTATTTGGCATCTAGGCCTGAAGTTTATTGTGCTACCAGCTACAAAAATGCCACCTGTGTGAAGTGCTGAGCTCATGATTATCCAAGACCATAACCAAGAGCTGAGGAGCAACCCTGCTCTTGCTTTTGGGCTTTTGGATGCTGAATTCAGCATATTCACACAGACCACTTTGCTCTCACAAGAAGGGTGTGCAGGCACCTGCCACTGGCCTCTCTTCAGGCATAGGACTAAGGATGGGCATTTCTGGAGAAAAAAACAGGGGGCTGGAGGGTGTGTGGTACCTGCCCATCTTCATCTGTGCTGGCTTCTTTGAGCTTGCATTCAGGTTGAACAGATCCATGGGCAGGTCCCTGCTCCCTTCCCAACCCCCTCAGCGCTTACCTTGGCAGAATCAACCAATTCCCAGTCTACAGGCCAAAAGCACGCATCTCTGAAATTAGATTAAAGCGCTAACATAGGGGAATGTCCATGATTCCCTGGTGGTTGTCCTGCCTTCCTCCTGTTGTCATGGATGTTCCTCTCTCACCTTGAGAAAAAATGCTGTCTGTGGTTTCAGAGCTCTTCTTCCCTTTCCAGCTCAAAACCACAGCTCTCATCCACACTCTTTTTTTTTTTTTTTTTTTTCCCTCAACACCATGACAACCAAAACGTGGCTTTTTCTACCTCTCAGAGGCATTATGGCCTCTCAGAAGGATTTCAAGGTCTCCAGCTCCATGGTGTTAACCATATGCAATAGCCCTTGATAGTTTGATCCTACAGGGTGCAGAAAACCTCCTGGAGATGCCCTAGGATGCCCTCAGTAACCACTGAAATCAGGGCAAATGGTTACACACCCTGTCCTTAGTGAAGCATCTGGCAGATGCACGTCCTAGCTGAGATGGCCTGATCCACGCTGTCAGAGGTATTTGACTGTCTGCTAGGATTTACAAAGATTCTCAGTAAGTTAGACACCTAAAACCCATTAATGTTTCACTCTGGGTAAACAGCTAATTTGCCTTAAACTGGAAAGTCACCATTCCTTGGCTTTAACGTTCAACCTTTTGCAGTCCCCAGTCACGCGGTGTGGAACAAACACCATCTCAGCTTTCTGAAGGCCGGCCAGACACTGTTGGGCTGTCATAATCAACTTTTGGTCACCTGAAAAGCCTGCCTTGGGCTTTTCAGGGCACAAAACTGAATTTGGCAGAGCTGCAGTGCCATCCCAAATGTTTTAGAAACTCGGTGCCATCAGGGCACTTCAAATACTTTTTTGCTTTTCTGCTGCGGTGTGTCTGGAAAATGATGAACTCAGACTGTTCCTCCCATTTCCAAATTCAAGTGCCAAAAGAGAAGAACATGCTGCAACTGAACACCATTAAAACCAGCTTTATTATATGTGGATAAATAAGTCTCAAGGGCTCCAGTTTGGTGCTAAGATATGTCAAGCTGTATTTTCCATTGCTTGGGATTACAGAGCTGATTCCCTGCTCCAGGAAATACTTTCTGTAACCAGCAACATCTTAAGCATTAGGATTTTCTTTCTTTTTTTTTTTTACTTGTGGCTGTATATTTTTTAACTCAGATGATACACTCAACAAATAACCCCTTCCCCATCATGTGAGTTTTGGAGAAGTTTTATACAGTGTGTATATATATGTAAAAATTCTTTTGAAATGTGGGTGCATGTATGCTTTTCTCTCAATAATACTCTTCATCACATCAGCTGACCCAGAATCAGTTACTCAGAATTTGATCCAGAAGTAACCAAGGTTAGTGGAAGGGCCCTCATGGATGTGCGGGCTGTGGGACCAGATCTTCACCACATCACTTAGAAGACAAAAAGTGTGCAGTTAATTAACGTAAAATTTAAACCTCTTCTTCTCCTAGCAGGCAGAAATCCAGTTGAAATCTGCCAGGCCTAACAAGTCCTGTGTCCTCAGGTGCTCATGAGCTCACAGTAAAGAAGCAGAAATAATTAATACTCTTATTCTTTGGTACAATACTCCAGCAAGAAGTGCAAATGATCTTAATGGCTGCATTTAGAATCCAAGCAAGTCATCACAAGATGAGAGTTTTTCAGCCCCGTAGGCCTTTACATGTCAGCCATCCTGCAGAAGAAGAGTGGTTTTGCAGTGATTTTTGTGCCATGCACTGAAATTCCCTTGCAGAAGAAGACACGTGAACTGCACAGAACCAACATGGGTCATAGTTTCAAATACTCGTGGCCTTTCTTTTGGTTTAGTCTTTCATGTTAATTCTTACCTTGAAAAAAAATTCATGTTCCTGATTTAAAACTCCAGCCTCTGTAATGGCCCATGGAACATCATGCAAAATACATTTTTGCATTCGAAATACATTTTTGTCCGTTGTCACACTACAGATGAGCGTGGGGATGTTCTGTTGACAGGCAGTTAGGCCAGGTGAGATGAGGAGATCTTGCTTCAACACCTTGTTGAAGGAGCCATCTGTACAGCCTGAAGGGCAGATGTTCCCCACAGCTCAGTGGTGAGGGACAGATGTTTCCAGTGATGCTATTGCTGAATAGGTCATGTAGCCCGAGTAGCCTTTTGCAGCAGGTCAGTTGCCATGTGACTACCTACCTACAGATATTCTTGGTCTTGATGACTGCCAAGGATGTGGGAGAGGGGAGGGAGGCTTTCGGAGAAAGGAGAGAGGTTGGAGTTCTGGGCTTGAAATATCTTTGTGGAGAAGGACTTCTCACAACAGGGAAGCACAGCTACAGTCCATGGGCATCATTCCTGAAGGCTTCTCAGTCTTTTTCACAGCAAAGGTGCTTTAAGGGCTAACCTGGGGATAGGGAGGAAGGAAAAAAAGGCAGCAAAAGGTACCAGTCAGAGCTACCATGCTGAAAGGTTCATACGTTGTTTTCCCAGTGGAGATACAGAGATTTGGCCCAAGTGGCTCTAGGCTCCTTGGCTGGATAGTAGGGAAAAATCACGCTTTCTTCCTCGTACCCAGCTCCTGGCATCTTCTGGATTTGGCGACTGAAGAACCTCCTCTTGCACCTTTCAGACCTCCATAGGAAATGTCAGGGGCTAAAATTTGAGCTCATGCCCATCGAAAAAGGTGACATTGCCCTGAGTTCAGGTTGTGGGTCTACAAAACACTCTTGTGTTACGATGTGACAGGACAAAAACGATCACTCCCAAGTTACCCCACCTGCCTGTTGCTGCTCCAGTCTCACCGGAGATAATGGACATTATATCTGCTTATAAATGTGTGCATTAAATTCCCCAATCCCTGTTCTGCCAGACCTGGTCAGGATGTGCTGACATGTGCAGTTATTCCAGCAGCCTTCACCTTGAGGGACCTGCTTGCTAGAAAGCACTCACTTGGGGAACAACGTCATGGCAGTTTCACGTACACAGGCAGGGATGTTAAGTACAGCCAGGCATTTGCTGCACTATGGTCCCGCAAACGTGGAAGTGTCAAGTGCAGGCTTTGAAGGGAACTGAGTCTTCTTACGTACCGTGGTAGGACAAGGCAAAGACTTAAACCCTCCTGTCTCTTGTGGAACAAGAGAAATTAGCTCTACAGCCAGCAGTTATAGTCCATCCGTGGTGATGCACATTGGAAAACTTTTGAATTGTTTTGCATTCCGGTTTGTACTGAAGATTTGATTCAAACTTTGTGTATATAATCCCTTTGGTGTGTTACAAATATATATGTGTGTGTGTGTGTGTGTGTGTGTGTATATATATGTATATATGTGTGTGTGTGTGTGTGTGTGTGTATGTGTATATATATACATATAAATCAATCGATGCTGGTGTTTTTAATTTTCACAGGGAAAAGGGCATGTTTAAGTTTGCTGTAAGATTCTATTCTGTATATATGTTTTCATGTAAATAAGTGAAAATCTATATTCAGAGTTATATTTTAATTTTTATTCCAGATGAAAAAAATTCCCTTTTTACTTGAAACAATTGTAAGCCACGTTGTTAATAAAGTAACAATAAATCATCTCTCTCTCCGGGTTGTTTTTTGTTTGGCTGAGCAGTGAGGCTTGTGTTTTGATGTATTTGGTTCATCCCTGAGGAGGTGAGATGAGAAAGCCATCTGCTTGTTATCTCCATCCTGAGTGACTTTGTGCATCTTCTTAGGACAGGCCAGTCTGGATTTGTAGTGTTAGGTACAGAGGCATCTCTGGAGGCTCCCTTTTTGTCTGTAGAGGGAAGCATCTGCAGTAAACTTCAGGCCAAAATCAAATCACCCTAGGGAACTGCCTCTCTTCAGTGCCTTTGGAGGACAACTAGAGAAGGTGAAGCCTTCATTTAGGTTAATACTAAAAGAGGGTGAACCTGAGGCAGTAGCCAGTCTGCGTGGATGGGCACAGATAGACGATAGCTGCGGTTGCATCCCTCAGAGCATAATGGACACACAACAGCCTGACTTCCAGGCAGGGCACGTTCCTGACCAAGCAGAGGTGTGTCTCCACATCTGTGTGCTCTGCGTGCTGCACGCCCCAGCCCCGATGAATGTGCCCAAGCTTCCTGGAGCGCAGTCTTGCCCTCACTGAGCCCCCAAACCTCCAGGGAGGTGCAAACACAGCATCCCTGGCTCTACCTTCCGTAGATGCCAAGCTGCAGGGTTTGGGTTTATGTGCCTGCAAATTCTTCCCAGCAGCAGTATGGCAAAACATGAAAAAAAAATAAAATATGGTGGGTGGGTGAGGAGACACAAGAGCATCCCAGGACCTTTTAGGAGAGAGATGAGGAGCAGGGTGAGAGACAGGAATGAAGGTAACGCGGTGAGCAGCTGGCAGAGAGGGATGTAGTGAGAGAGGAACTGATGGTGGCAGGACAAGAATTACAGCAGGGCCACAGCACGTGGAGTAGAGACGCAGAAAACAAATCTTCCCAAGGTGCACAGCAGCCACTGAACATGGGGGAAACCATCCTGCAGTGATGGAAAACAGCTACTTGTGGAGTCCAAAATGTAAGCTGCGGAGATAGTCACACGCTTTGCGACAGAAAACCTTGTGTTTCTCACATGTTTCGTATTACATTTTCTCTGCAGTTACAGGCTGTGTCGAGGAGTGCAAGTTCCAGCTTCGGAAGTGAGTCATCTCACCTTTCAGTGGCATCCTGAGTCCTGCCCAGAAAGTCTATCTGTTGGCCTAGCTTGGCAACCAGGCATTTGCTGTTGGTTTCGTCACCCATACCCCCTGCCTCAGTGGAAGTGGGGTAGCACACACCCTAAGACAGCAGGACGGCATCCACTGACGTAGGAGTGGAAGAAAGTGAGCAAAGAGTCTACAGAATTATCTAACAAGAACTTGGATGACCCTCGATTTGCTTTTGCTCTGTCAGACCCATTCAGATGTCGCTTGTGGGTACAGCAGAAAGGGAGAAACAGAATTGCTCTTGCCGTGGTTTTAGTTTAAGACTGGCTATTCTTTAGAAGGCAAAAATGGGCAAGCAAGTGGGTTTAGGGTGATTTACAAAAGGACCAAACTGCTGGAAAGATTATTATTTTTTTTTTACAAAGTCAATAAAGTCTTGGGATGGAAATCCTTTTGTGTCATAATAAGGATTATTATCCTTATTATGGCACTGTAACCACAGCCCATGCTTTGGGAAGGACAAAAGTGAATATAGTCAGAGAAGTGACCTGTCCAGCCTTAAAAATAAAGCACCAGACCAATGGATAGTGATGTGTGTTGACATACGGCTTTGCTAGACCACAGAAATCCTCGCTGAAAGGTGATGTAGAGAATGTACAATAATTCTAAGCTAAATCTGGTGGCGACATAAAACTAAAAGAGCAAAAGCTTGAATGTTTAAAGATATTCTTCAGAATGCAGAGGTGAAAATAAATCCATGTATCTCCCTGCAGCTTATTACATCGTCATTTAAAAGTAATGCAAAGGTCAGACACTGTTTTTTAAATTTCTTCCCCAGCTCAGGGAAGACATGCTCAGAGCTCCGCAAAGAGCTAATTTTTGAATAATAGAATGCAAAGTGATTTTAGTAAAGCACTGGCAAGATATTCCAACAGAGCTCCTTGAAATTGATGACCAACACACGAAATATAGTTGCCATATATCATTTCCGCAGGGAAAAAAAGATCTCCCAGCCTTGCTTCTGACATCACGGGCCAAGATTTTGAAGACACCTCCATTTTCAGTGTTACAGTTTTGCACGCACAATTGATTTGTGACAGATTTCTAGATACTTCACCCGATTTGTGGGCACAGTCAAGCACTCGTGTAAGCAGCAGTATGAACACCAACATGTAGTCGATTGCCTCATTAAAAAACGCTTACAGAAATAAAGTTGGATTTTCAGGTTTCTGAGGAAACACCATCTTTGTTTTCTGCATATGGAATGAACAAAAGTAGTAGGTAGTTATATTTCAGTTCATCGGGTTTTCAGACAGACTTTCAAGACAAATAATTATTGTTCTTACTAACTATATTGTTTCTGTTACTGCTGCTTTTGTTAGCATTGTTATCGCTTTTTTAAATTTAGAGATTCAAGCCTTTCAGTGAAATTTAAGGATTCTCAAAGTCCCTCTCCTGCTACAATATTTGCTTAAGAATGATACACCTCTTGCTATAGTGTCTGTACTCAAGTGCCATAAGTTGATTTGTAACTGCATCTCAGCTGAAGTTGTAATTACACTGTCTTCTCTAATAAGTCATAAAATCTTAAAACCAGAGAAAAATAGTGCTGCAGGACACCTTGAGGTGTCAGCTCGACTGTTTCCCCTCTCCAAGGCAGGACCAATTAGACAAATCTTATTCCTATTTGACATTTGTTTAACCTGACCTTCAGACAGGTGTCAAAATAAGACCTCCAGCAACAAGCAATTCCCCAGCACTTCTACAGCATAAAAAAAAAAAAAAAAAAAAAAAAAAAAAAAAAAAAAAAAGTGATGGCATTTGGATGATGAAGCCTAAAATTCCCAGGCAAAACCCACTGAGCTGATGTTGCCATTGAATGGCCATTTCGTTTTAAAAATCTCAGTATGACTGGTGATTAATGTAGCAATTAATAAAAGTAAAAGCAGAACATTCACAGTTAAGATGGATTAGATTTCAAGTAAGCAACTGTGATAATAATTTCCATCGTGAGTCCTTAGTTGGGGACGTAGAGCATATGATCTGGAGGTTACAGCAGATGATGGTACTACGATGAACTTCCCCTCGATAGCTAGAGCTACCATCACTGTGCTTGTGTCTCTGGATAAATCATCTCTGGAAATAAAGCTTTGTTACACAGAATTCCCAGCTTGTGCCCAGGCAACTCAGTGGCCCACTGACTCATATCCATGGTGGCTGAAGAAGCTCAGATCCAAAACTGTAAGGGCTAAATAGTAGGGATGGCCCAGCCATGCCCAACCGTGAGTTGGCCATGAAGAGGAGTAGATGGGCTTGATCAGCAGTCAGTCTCAAGTACTTCTGAGTCAGTTGGACACTCTCCCATGCTACTTTGGGGAATGCAATACCTATGTTGGACATGGGATTGGAATGCTTGAGCATGCAGTCCTTCCAGGCATGGTAATACAGTCTCCTTTAGTGAACAGTTTAGCTAGAGAGAAAGCTGGGAAGAGCCCTTAGCTCCTGAAACAGCTGTTAGCTTGTGGTAATCCTGCTCTGGGTGGGATTCCCAGGGTGATGGCTCTCTCAAACCTGCTTTTTGTTCCCAGGGGAAGAAGGCATCGACTGCTTTCCTGACTCAGGCCAGGATTAACAGTCATCTCTTATTGTCTGACCCAAACAGAGCTTTTAAGACCCCCTTTTTCTTACCACGTGTAAATCTAAAAAAATCTCCATAAGAATCAGTGTAAGTTTTTCATGTAAATGTGAAGTCTGCACATAGTGAAAGGGCGACTGGTAGAAGAAAAGAAAGGAAGGGAAGCAAGCAGGTCCAAACCCAATGCCAGGGACCTTGACTCTGCTCACCACAAAACTTAAGAACAGATATAATTCTCCTAGCTTTACCCACATGAGAAAGCGAAGCTTTCTCATGTTTGAATGTGTAGGCATCATTTGAATTAATTTCCCCAAATCAGCTTGATTTCTGCACTCTTTCTGAGAGTTCCTGTGGCCCTCTGTACCCAACAGCTTTAGCATACTGGGGCTGTTGTAGGCAACAGGTTAAAGTCCCGTTATTTTAGGTGCAGATCGCTCTGTTATGTACAACTCCCCTTCACCTCAGACAAGAGTGAAGGACATCACTGCGGTCCTTACCCACACAGCAGTCAGCCATTTCTGTGAAATCTTCCAGCTGGTTGACGTAACCAAGTCAAAAGTGAAGCAACTGCTGTTGGTGTGTGCATAGCCTGGTGTTGGCTGCTGCTATTTCAGATGTGAAATATGCCCACATCTTGGAAAGCGTTTTACGTGTATCAGCTGTACGTACAGAAGGAACACCCCGTCTCCATAAATCTCCCTCCCACACACGCACACACACGCACACACACACACACGTAGGACACTCGGGAGATATTTGCTGCCAAGGCAGTTTACGGTGTCTCGCTATCATGCCCAGCAAAAGGCAGGACATTTTTCAGGAGAGGAAAGTGCTGTTCTCACTTTCGTGGACTTGTCACGGAGACCTTGCAGCAGTAAGGAACCTTCTTCCCGCTGGTTTAAGGTGAGATCACACATGTCTCTAGGGAAGAGTGTCCTGGGGCAGATCACCACATCAAAATGCAATCATTACTCCGAAGTTCGCTTTTGTTCATAATTGGAATGACCCTCGAACATCCAAACTGTAAATCTTTAAGCTTGAGTTTGCACAGGAAACCCACAAGCTCTGTTGAGCCCCTGGATGTATGGGTGACCGTAGTTGCATTTTACCAAGGCAGCTTTCTACTTTACAGCCTCCACAGCAGGAATCTGCCTAGCCGAAGAGTGCTTGAGCACAGCAGGTCTCCAGCTACAATCACTCAATGCCCTGCTTTTGAGTGCCAGGCATTTGGCACCTCATTTTCATGCTCTGTCATGAATATAA